TGCAGTTTTTTAAAGTAGTGCTGATGGCAGCAAGATAAGCTGGACTTCTTGCTTGTTCAGTAGCTGGTTGCTTCTGCAGGAATCCCTTCAGTGCTGTGCCAGCAAAAGACAGGCCTGGTGCAGTCAAGCAGCTGTGGGAATGGCTTGAGCCTGGGGAGGGCTATTCCTCTTAGAGAGCTCACTGCTTGCCTTCAGCTGCAGGCATTGAGTGTTGGAACAATAAAGCACTATGGTGAGAAAAAGTATATGGACTGAAGTGGTTGTGTGGTTTGTTTTGGCAGGGGGTGGATGGAACAGTAGTGATACAAGGGGTTAAACTAGCAGCCTCACTGTAGCTGTCTTGACCAGCAATGTCAGGCCAAGGAGTGAGGAAAGAGAGCCATACTCTCCTTTATAGATCTAGAATCAGCATCATGTAACTCATGCCATGTGCACTCTCTGATCTACCCCGTGTTTCGTTCCTGTGATGCCACAGGGCATCGGCTTGCTGCTGGAACACACTCAGTGCATTTCATTAGCTGGCACTGAGCAGCAGTTGAAGGGCTGTCAGTCTGCTCAGCACCTCTGAGATGCTAATCCTGAGGTAGCTTTCTGAATGACCTCTTAACAAGCTAGCTAACACTGTGCGTACATAGGTAGAGTATTATGGCAGTATGTAGGGTAAAATGGACCTCTGTTTCAGCCAACTGTTAATGGGGTTTTCTTCACTGACTACAGCCGGTTCTTCTTTGGATCATACCTTCTAAGTATTTGATGGAGCTGCCTTGCAAAGGAAACATGGTCTAGGCAGTTCTGGTACAGAGGTTCGTTCCCTCAGTAGCTCCTATGTGCCCAGCTGAGCTGTTGGCCTCACAACTGCAGGCTCAGCTGGCTGCACGCTGCTTTGCATAGTGCAGAGGTCGCACACCACTTCTTATTTCCATTGGTATATATGCTAGGCTGTGGCTTTCCATGAGTGCTTTATTAAGAGCACTCATGACTGAAGTCAGCTCCTCACCCTTTTTAAACCTCTTCAGAGTTGATCTCCTTTGAATTGGATTAATAATCTGTGCAGTCAGATTTGAAAAGTTGAATTAAAGACCAGAAAAAAGCACTTAGAAGATAAGGGCTTCTGATAAAATGGTTAGTGTTAGTTTCTAGGATAAAAGCATGTTCTGTAACTCTAGGCAACTGGACATGTGTGTTCCAGGAAGCTGTGAGTTGCAGCCTCAAAGAAACAACAGCAATCATGTGGTTTTCCTGGGATCCTGTTGTGCCCTCAGAGGCTCTGGACAAAGAAGAGGCCTGGGTTTGCTTCAGACCGCAGAGGGCAAACTGGGACCCCAGGAATTTAGTGTTCTAGGAAATAGAATGAAGGGATGGGGGTGGAATAGAATAAAAGTTTGTGAGAGGTTTGCTTTTTTTTTTTTTTTTTTTTTTTTTAATTCTAGAATTTACCTTTTAAGAAAACAGACATCGCATTTTAGCGATCAACGAAATGCTAGAAAATGTCCAGCTTTTATTCTGAAGGAAAACTTCCATTTCTGGCCAGTATTTTCACAGTCTTCTCAGTCTTGTGTTACTGCTCTCATCAGCTGTCGCACCCCCAGCAGAATTTGTGTGCAGCAGCCCTTGCACAATATCTGTGCCTCAGCATGCATATGCAGACCTTTCTCCCCTATGTTTTATTCAGTTGCAGCCTTTGTGCAGGAGGGCATTCTGCTCCTTACGCTGTAAACATGCTTTAAGTTTCCATCACCCAAAATGCAGCTTTGCTAAATAGCCACCTGGTAAGACTGCAGCCTGGGAAACCTGTGTTAACCTTTTGCTGTGCCTGTTACCTGACTGAAACAGGACAGACGTATGGCTTTCCAGGCTTCAAAAAACCTTAAAGCCAGTTTCCTCACTGCAAACAAAAATAAAATTAAAGAACCCAAATAAGTAGTAAGGACATAATTTTTGTTTACAGAGATATAAGCCTTTATTGTATGCTATTGAAAGCAAGTGGGACATGGCTATGGTTTTATATACAGAGAAGTCTGTGGCGTTGGGTTACAATCAGTGGCGAATGAATTAAGATTACAGTGCAAATAGAGGTGTTGTGTACAGTTCATAACAGTGGCTGGCATGTAAACCACAACACAGAAGTCAAATGAAGCCAAATGTACCGGGTACAGCATCACGTGAGGAAGCAACTCAGTATCCCAAGAGCATTCCATTTACTTTACATTTGCAGGTTTTTTTAGCTAGTGAGTAGATCTAGCTCACTTCATTGAGATTTCTCCTGGTTCGTAAATTACCTGTTGTAAGATCACAGGGCTCTCTTGTACTTCGTTTGGAAGTTTATTTCTGAGTAACTTCTTTTGAGAGACTTACTGGGAAGAAAGATGGAACTGTCCACCATATGTACATACTTCTGCAATTTGGTGATACTATTTAGATAGTTCAAAGGCCTTATTTTCTTTTATTCAATGCTGTAAGTAATTTAGTGTAAAAATAAACATTCTGTCCTCTGTGGATAAATAAGTCCATCTGGTGGCTGCAGGTCAGCCCTCTCAACTGGTGAAAGAGATTTATAAAAATAGACCTTTGCTTTAGTGTTTACTATGCTGACCCACAAAGGAAAAGTGAAATTCATTCAAGTCTAGAAACAGAAATACAGTACAAGTGATTTATAGAATTGCATTCCTTCCCTCTGCAAGCTTGCTGAGCATGAAACACTGCTCCAAAGCCCTGCCTCAGTCTTTTCCTGGTCCTGGAGTAACTGTCATTAGAAAAGTAACATCATACTGCATTGCCAGATCACCTGTCTTCCTTGCAGTATGCACCCTCTTAGCAGAGATCTGCCCTCAGATGACTGTTTAAAAATTCTTCAGATGGTGGTGGTGGTAGTTTGGGCTACACAGGGGAGAAATTTTAGCCCAAATTAACAGCAGTTGTTTGAATTGATTCAAGTGGTGGTGATTTTTGGTGGAAGCTCAACCTTTTTTTTTTAACTATTATTATTTTATTTTTTTTTTAAGTTTGTAAGTTGAATGTGGAAGACAGCAGCCTTTCCTCAAAGTCATCTTCCCATAGATACCACGTCTTTTTGGCAGTACAGGTTTCATGCTCAACTTTGCCACTAAGACCTGGGCAGGACTTTAGAAAGTGTGCAGCCCACGGAGATTTGCTCCACTGCATTTAGCACTTTTGAGAATTACCCCCACAGCAGTGTTGCTCTCTTAGAAGTGCAAGTGTCACACAAGGTTCTGAGACAGCTGGAGGACAGGTGACATTCTGCAGGAGAAGTAGTAGTTAAGCACCAGTCGTTGGCCCCTGCAGAGGCTCAAGAGGAGAACAGAATTGCTTTGTAGAGAGCTCATCAACCTAAAAAGCTTAGTCAGTTTGATCAATAAATATTGATTTAGGGTTAGGATCAGAAATAAGATGCTGTACTTTGGAATTGGAAGACAGAGACAACTTTCTTTATTTTCTGTCCAAAGGAGACTGCCTTTAAAACATTCATCCTTAAAGGCTTTTGTGATATCTGATACATAACTCACTCACACGTCTGAATGTACCTGTACCTTTTTTCAGGGAAGAATAAGTGCATGAGCGGACAAAACTTCAAGGCTTCTTCTGGGTTGTTACTTTTTAAACATCTGTTGTGTGTTCTGTTGGCCCTGAAGGCATATTTACCCACTCTTAAATGATGCAGCATTGCCCAGAGAATGGCTCTGTATAGTAGAACATGCTCTCAGCAGTATAAGCTCAATTTTGTTCCAGTACATTTCTGTGTAATAATGTGTTGTTGGAGAACTACACTTGACTTTATCCCATTACTTTGAGCAGGGAACTAGCGATGCTAGTTTGAAAACACAAGAAATAATCTATACAGTGAATTAGAAGTTTCATAATTCGTATCACTAAATTTCTGAAAGCTGTACTACTCTGAATATCAATGTTCTGCAGCCCACAGCTATTCTGCTTCGAGCATTATCACTCTGCAATTGCTTATAAACAGCCCTTTGTGGGAGTAATGAAAGAATAATACTCTGTGCTGAGTTTTACTTGTTCAGTTTGCAGGATGCTCTTGCAGAACTGTAAGTTATACTAGAAGTGCAGGAATACACACATTTCTGTATGCATAGATCATTAAATTATAACAGTACCAGTAGTAAAGCAAACCTGCCAAGATGCTCTGTTCCTCTTAATTAAGCTTGATCTATTTGTGCCTGCTGACTTAAGATGCAGTTAGTGTCCACTGCTGAGATGACAAAGTACCCTGAGTAGCTTTGTGATGGTTATGCTTACAGAAGCTTGTGCTTTTCTAAGAACATAGAAACGAGCACAAATAAATAAGTACATCTAGTTATTTCCATAGAACACTATTAATCAAGTTATTCACAGCAGCTTTGAAGTACAAAGCTAAAACTTACCTTTTGCTCTACTCCCTTACAGATTAGTGTTATAATTAAACTTACTGTTAGCTTAATGTAAGTGGACAGAGTTTCAAAACAGCTTTCATGGTAAGATGAATCTACTTTGTCATAGTTATACCAGTATTAGTGATCTGAAATTCATACATTACAACTGTAGTTCTGGAAGCAGTATCTGCTTTCCTTTGTTACCATTCTGTTCTGTGCAAGAGCAAATTGCCTAGAATATTGTACAAATAAGTTGCTAGGATTCCCATACTAGTGTACTGCATGGAACAGTCTCCCCATCTGGATTGGGTTCCACTGGCAAATAGAATTTGTTCACTGGATTTCTCCTGTTTCTCCACCTCCTCTTTTCATTACCTGCTTATTGACAGAAGTGGAAAAAAAAAATATAATCTGCTGCAGCAGCTTTTAGCTTGTGACATGGATAGCTTAAGCCTCTTACCTAATTTCTTGCAAACTATAGGAAAAAAACCCAATACTGCCTCCCATTGCTCTTAGTTTACTAAGGCTGCTGATTTACCATAGTAGACAAACCTCCTTTTTTTTACTGTAGACTGGTATTTATGGCTTTGGAAAAGGCAGTTCATCTTTCCCACCAACTTGCTGTCTGTTATACTTAATGTCCTCAAACTGGAACATTCTACCTTCATTTTTTCCTTCTCTCTCTCTCTCTCAGTGCATTCTATCAGGACCAGGTGTGTTCAGCAAGCAGACGTGTTCAAGTAGAAGCTGCACTGCACCTTGTAAACTGCAAAGTGGCTTATGGTAACTGGAACTTCTAGATTCAGGTAAGAGGCAGGAATTAGGCATTAAGTCCATATGCTATTTTGGACTTACTTTTTAATTTATTGCAACTCTTAACTCATCTCGGCTCCCCTGTTCCAGTGGATGACTACATTCAATTAATGTCCTTTAGAATTAGTGTGATTTGTCATAGTAGAGATAAGAGTCTAGAGATTTTGAGAAACATGCAGTGCTGGGCAGCTGAATTACATTTTCATTTTTGTTTACACAGCACACAAGAGATTGTACCTTTATCTTCCTGCCACAAAACTTTCAAGTTGGAAATTTGATACCTTCTGTCTCAATCTATGGCTAACATTTTTATATGCTCTTTAAATTCTTCAGCTCCAATTTATCAATGGATTATTAATTAAACATGCAAGAGAACTCTCCCACTGAAACTTCAGTTTTTGCTGCAGTTCCTGTAGGCTAGTTCAGTAACATCATTAAAGTTCCCTTAACCACTAAACTACCTCTCGTACAGCATATTTAACAGTAGAGTACAAAGAGTTAAGGCACCAAATACATAACAAAACAACATACAAAATAAGAAATTTGCTTTTGAGCTGCACATCTTCACTTACCACTTTGGATCATTCAGCTCCTCTTAAGCGTCAAGGTAAGTATTTGGCCTGAATGTTTCATTTAGCCACATGAACTGGAGACAAAACACTGAATTGAATCTTACACTGAAGTGAATTTTTCTCTCACAAAACTCATAGAACAACTTTTGCTAAGGCATTCAAATGCCTGTGCGGTGTCAGCTAGGTCTAGCAGGAAGAAAATCCCCAGTCTGCAGGCGCAAGGCTGTGCGTCCCATCGTGTTTCTGTGTTGCCTGTTACCTGTCTTACCACTTGCACACAACAGATGAATCACTACCATTTCTGTGAGTACAGTGGGAAACGGCAAGGTATTTCAGGGTACTAAAGAGCCTGCACATAAATAGGCATGGATTTAGATGACAAATTATTAAGCTAAAGAGACATAATTACGGGGCTGAGAAACAAATCACAGAATGGTTTGGTTTAGAAGGGATCGTTAAGATCATGTAGTTCCATCCCCCTGCCATAGACAGGAACACCTCCTAGGGATCCCTGTGGATCCTCTGGGGGCATCCACAGCCTCGCTAGGCAACCTGTTCCAGTGTCTCACCACCCTCCCAGTAAAGAATTTCTTCCAGCTTTATAATCAGCTTTATGATGAGAATTCTCTTAATGTCAAACAATTACTAGTTTAAATGGTTAACATTCCAAAGAAAATATGAATGAAAGCTGCTTCATAACCCGTAAGCACTGGGTACTGAGTTTCTTCAGTGAATCCTCTAAAATGACTTTAACAGAATTTCTGCCTTACAGTAAGGATCAGTTTAACAGCAAATCAGATCTGTTAAAACAGAGCAGTGAAACCAGTGAGTTGTTAGACAGACTGTCTCGTACTGTAGATAGTGCATGCAACTGTGATACACCTTTGCTTCACTTTGAACAAGTCAGTAAAGTATCTCATTTTTCAGTACTGTTTTTTTTCCTTTTTTTTTTTTTTCTCCCCCAACAGGAAGCTTGCAAGGGTTTGTGTCCCAAAAACATTCAGTTACTGCTTCTTCACACAGTACAACTGCACTGAATGGAATTTCTCAGTGAATCCAGCACAGAGCTTATTTTCATTCTTTTTTTTTTTTTTTTTTTGCCAAATGAAAGGTACTGGTCTGCTTTCCAGCTGAGAACAGCAATCTGAACATAACTCATTCAGAACATATCTCGTCATGTCTCCAAAAGAATCCAATCCTTGTAGAGTTCCTGTGCTGTTTCACAGAGCCTCAGGAAGTAGAAGCCTTTTCTGTGAGCTGCTTCTGTGATTTGGAACTCACTTGAGGGTGGGAGGCAGTTTTTTCTCTTTATTAATTAAAATGCATCTGTCTAAAGAGAATTTAGCTAAATGCACTAAGTAATAATGCACAATTATTGCATGTTAGCCTGTGGAGCAAAGGAGGCAAAGAGAAACTTAGAATCTTGTCTAAGACTGAAGTGCTGTTTCCTATTTGTTTATACAGTTCAGGGATCTCCACTAGACTGTGATGATCCACTGGTTCTTAGAAGTACAAATGCAGAAGTATAAAGGAAGCAAGGACAATGTGTTTCTATGCTATTTCTGTCAGGGATTGCTGACTGAAAATACTGAGGCATACAGACTGGTTTTCTGAGGACATGGCTGGACTGGATCAAGGATGTTACACTAAAGCTGCTTGCGTTTATGAGTTTTTGAATTGCAGGGGATTGATGTCCCACAGTTGAACACCTCCAGCCTGGAGATCTCTTCCCCAGGCCACTTGTAAAGTTTCCATGCCACTCCTCTTTCTACCTGGTAACACAAGAAACTCAGGGTAGGGAAGTTTTGCTTCGCAGTCCAATTAAAGGAAAAACACACAAATAATTTTGGAATTGGATAAGATACACTTTAAATCTTTTTTCCTGCCAGAAGGCAAGTGTTATTAAAGAAAGATCAAAGATATTAGAATAGTTGTCACAGATGTTTGCATGAGTAGAAATAGTCCCTCAGCAAATGGATGACTTTCTAGGAAAACTTGCTTCCCTGGAACTCTTTGTATGCCAATTAAAAGCATTCAAGAATCTAGAAACATATACAGACAAGAATCAGTTTACAGGGATGTTAGAAGGAAATTTGGAAGAGGTAGGCACAAAAAACAGTAGCAAGGTTATTTAAGTAAGTGCAATGAAAGTTATGGCAGCAGGGTCAGCAGATCCATGACACATTCAGCAGGATCCATGACAATTGCTGAATCATTTTATTAACTCACATTGGCTACATGACAACAAATTAGACAGATCAGGAACCACCTACCCAGGCACTAAATTGTCGTTGTGAGAGTTGGACTGTGTACTGTGTCCAACAGAAACTGCTTGGGCAACAGGGGCTGCACATTACACAGACTCTTTATGGGTAGAGGCTGGCCTCCCTCCATCTGTGTGGCTTAGTGCCCAGGAATAAGGTCACTGTGGTCCAACTCCTGAATGTGCGCTTAAGGAAGTCAGCAAGCCCTGGCAGAGGGAGGACATGGTGGCAGGCAGCATCGTGCACCATGCTTTCACCTAGCCAAGTGCTTTCACTGTTACTCAGTTCTGGTTCTGTAACATACAAGCTTTCAAGCACAGGATGGTGATGGAATAGATCTCGAAAGGTTTATGCAGATTTTGATATAGTGTTTGTATAATGTACAGGTAAAACACTTGCTCAAGACAGCAGTGCTCTTCCCAGTCATTCCAGTTTGAAAGCCATCTCTAGACAGAAAATGCCTGTAGAAATCTGACATGGCTGGCAAAGCAGGATTTAAGTTCCCTTGTAAAAAATATATAATTCCTTCAAAATACAGAGTTTCATATCTGGGTAAATTGACAAGCATTCCAGCTGCCACTCACCCATTAGGAAGGAAAATGGTGAAGAATGGTTAGCAGTGTACAGGATCTAGGATTTTCATAGGTGAAGGCTGCTGTCATGCATGGGAAACTCAGCAGGCTGGTTATACTTTTCTCTCTCACGCAGCTCCATGAAATCCAAATTGTTATAAAGGCAAAGTAAGTACCTGCATGATTACAGGTTTGTACTCAAGAGCAGCTAAAGGCAAATAAATTTTAACAATGGAATAGTCTGCATTTTAATCTCTCAATTCTGTAAATAGCGTTACTTCTCTCAGTGTCAACCAACCAGGCCACTCAAGCTCTCATTTTTCTTCTGAAGTCAGTGTAAATGCTGCTTATCTCCAATCCAGACTGCACAGGCCAGTTTGTCATTGTAAAGTTCTGGTTTCTTTTAATCCTTTAAGTGCCAGACATCATCTCCCAAAATACACACTGTTAGCATCTGGTTAGCTAAAACTAGAGTTAAGGTGGGAAGTGAATGGATCTTTCCCAAATGTCCTATTGATATGTAGGAGTTGAAAGGTACTTTTCAGAATTCTTTTTTTTTCATGAACCAGCAAACTATAACATTTTTTGCTTCGCAGACATGTTACTACAAATTGACAAAGATAGCAGCTACACAGAGCACATGGAACCAGTTTCCACATTTTACTTCTGGGTGTATCTAGAAAGACACAGCTCAGTAACCATCGAATAGCAGACCTCAGGCTCACAGAAAAGGCACTTCAAACATGCTCCTGTGAGATGTCTTTTAAAAAGGCAATGAGCAAGTATTTATGCAAAAGAAAGCAGATTCTATTTCTGCCTTAGAGTAACAGTGGTTGTTACAAAATCAATCGAGCAGCTGTTATCCAGTTTACTCATCAAATAATAGCCTGGTATTTCAGTTAAGTTAAAAGTTACTCTTAGAATTTAGTCCATAACTATTCTCTCAAATGCTCATGTAGTAGGCATGTGTGGAACTCACGAGTGACACTTCAGCACATGAATGTTTTGCTCAAGTTCCACCATCAATAGCTGAGGTTCCTGGGCTGTCTTACCAGCCATTTCAAATGGCTTAAAGAAAACAAACAGATGTAAGAGTGCAGTATGTATTTCAACATCAGGAAATGTCATCCATCCTACTGAGAAAGGGTGCAGCAAAGCCATGAGGACAAATTTTGGAGGTATCTACTGCTTTATGAGCAAAAACATACCAAAGAAATTCAGTATCTTTTCAGTGAACAAAAGGAGAAGATCCAAGAAAGTGAAGATTCCAAGCAAAGTAGTAAGGGCAGAATGGTTAGGGTAAAGCAGTAATGACAGAAAAATGTGGAATTTCACAGACAAAACAATGCTGATGGAAAGCGATGCACAGAAATGAAGCTGCCAAATACAGGCCACAAAAGAGAGATCAAAGAAGTTAGCAAGACATCTCATTATTCAGTTCTTGAACTGGACAGATAACTGCTTGTCAGACTGTAATCATTCTGATTTAAACCTAGGAAAGGAATACTCAAGAGAAGTTCATTATAATGCACCATAACATTGCCTTGAAGCATATACAGTACTGTCTTCCAGAGGAAGCAGAGCAGCCTGCTGCTCCACTATCAGGATTGCTTAGCCTGACAAGCTGAAAGAATGAATTGAATTTTAAATGAGCTTCAGACCAAGCCCTGCGTTTGCACCTTGAAGGTAACAGAAGATGAAAATCTGCACCACCAAATAGGAAGCACATCTTGATGGCTCATCAGTTGCACCTGCAAATGTAATCAAATGGCTGTGTGCTTTAACAGGCAAGTCATGGTAAAGTTCCTTAAGTTCATTTCCTCCAGTGCAAGCACATAGGCCACTTGCAAGGTCAAGTTTCCACCAACATTAGCTAAACTAACAAAATTTGACAGCTATTTTTCTACATCAGCCTATGAATTTTACCCAGACATATCCTCAATTATGGAGAACCTACATATGCAGTTATTTACTGAGTTTGATGTTTTCAATTTTGAAATGAAATACAGTTTGTTTTTGGCATTATATTGTGATGCAAAATAACAAGCTTTGGGTCTGATTTACTACTACATGTTTCATACCAAGTATTTTTCTCATTTTGTACCAGTATGAACTGTGATCAGTCAGGGCTATTTAATGCTTTCATCTCTGAAATGAGACCCTAAAATGTTAATACATCACCCCACTCACCCCACTCCCCTTCCCCCCCTTTTTTTTTAATATAAAAACAGTTGTTTCCAGCAACTTCAAGTGCTGCAAGTATTGCAGTTGAGCAGCACTGTACTATGCAACTTTGCATAATGTAAGGTTATATAAATGCAAATTAAAAAAGTAACTATTTTAAAACTACACGTATCATGTGCACCATATAAGTCGGAAACCATTTTCCCCTGTGTAAAACATTAGTTAAAACATCTACTTCAGCACTGAAAATATTTATGGATGTCTCTATTTTCATTTCTATCTTTAGAAAACTACAGCTGAACAATTTATTCATGCAGGCTTAAACCCTGCCTGCCTGCCTTCCCATCTCCTGCTGTGCCCACTAGAGGAAAGCAGATCGGCTGCTTTGTGAATTAACTTGGCCTAGTGCAATCTGATCTCTGCAGATTTAAACTGTAATAAATATCAAACTTCTTCATTCTTCATTTGGAGTTCAGCTTTAGTAGTTCAGGGAGGTAATTTCTCTCTTACAAGTTAGATAGCGTTCATATTCCACCTGGCATTTTTATTTCACATCCCTGTCACCTTGGTGTGGCTTCAGTACCTACCCGAATGTTTTCAGCAAGTATGCAAGGAATGCAGTGCCTCGCACACAGCACTGTCAGGACAGCTTTCTAGGCTGTGCAAAAGGATATGTGAAGTACAACAGTCTGCTGATAAAACCAAACTATTTCTTAAGTGCATTAAGTAATATTTTCTCATTAAACTCAAAGCAGAATATTTGAACTGGCCTTGACAACGTAAAAAGTTGGAATTCAGACCTAAGTATTACTTGTTTAAACACAGAGTTAAATAATAAAAAATATACCATATACAAGACTTTCACAGGTAAGTGAGGTTTCTAGGAAAAAAAAGCAGTAAAAATACTTTTTAAGCTGAAAATAAAATCTCTTACCTTTTATATCACGATCTCAGCTTACAGTCATTAAATTTCTGCTTATTTTATACAAGTGCATATGGCTATGAAGGTCCGGAGAGAATGAGAATAAAGTGGTATTAACCTGCTGAAAGCTGCTCAAAAGTCTTAACTGCAATATATAGATGTTCCAATACCATTTACATAAGCAAAGACATTTACCTTTCAGTTATTGCTGATTACTGATTCACAATCTTAGAGTATCAATAAACAAATACTTAGAAGGAAAAAACCCAACTAGTAAATAATAGCAGCAAAGATCCTGATCTGGAGATTGACCAGTTACTACATTTTCCTATCATTTGGTGATAATTTTCAGAGACACAAAAGCAACTATTTCAAAGTCAAGTTCAGGCCTACCCTTTTTGTGCCTCACATTAATGATGTGGTAAAGAAAGAGAGAGAGAGAGAGAGAGAGAAAGAATAACTTTTAGTTATATTTTGGAGAAAAATATACTACATTTTCCTGGCTTTTTGCTACATTTCATGTGTGCTGACATGTACAATGGTACAAAGCACTACTGCTTCAGAATTGACCACTGTAAGTCTTTGTAGCAATTTGTATAGGAAACATGCAAATAACCATAGTATTAAAATTCTAAAATACTGAAGTATGGAAAGTCAATGCAGGATTCACTGCTTAAAGCGAGCGCCCTGCTGGGTCTTGTTTTGTTTTTCCCTCCCCCTTAAGCCCACCCCTTCTAGACCAATCTTTCTCTCCTAATGTAAAGAAAATAACCAGAAGTATATACACATCTATTGCTATGTACCCAAAGAAAGGACTGTGGCTTGGAGTATTGCTTTTCATTAAATGGAACAAAGTTCAAGAAGTGAGAAAAGCACTTTGGAAGGAAAAAAAAAAGGAAAAATTCAGATTCCATGTCTGAAGTTGAGAAACCTCAAAACGAGCCACTTTTGTTCTTGCTTTTAAGACATGTACAAAATGCCATTTCGAGCCACACAACCTGATGGTTCTAGAAGTCAGAGAAGAAATCTTGAGGGCCCAAGTGAATAATAAAAGGTGCGATGCTGAGAGGCTGGCAATAGGGACTGTCAATGAAAAAACCACCTACAGTGGGAAAAGAGCAGAGAAGCAAAACTTCATGTTAATTTCAGAGAGTGGCTGAAGCTAAAGCTCCATTTAAATTTCTCTGCTCTTTCAGCTGCAAGTGGAATTTTCATTGTAAAATGGGCACTTTGAATTCTGTGAAGGTATTGAAACATCTAACACTGTCCAAGGTTACCACTTTCTAAACAAAGAACTGACAGCTCATTCATATTTCCAGTAAAGCAGAGAAATGTAAAATATGCAGCAAGGGGGGCAAGTTTACAATGTGGTTAGTAACTCCCAACAAATGACAAAAAAAAAAAAAAGACTTTTATCAATTGTCTGAAATGACTGCCATCATGTTGGAAAAGAGCATAGCGCCCTCCTTGTTTTGAAATAAGGAACAAGTTCTTTGGTATACAAATGTTTATTGTATACAATTGGTTCAGACATTATTTTGTTAGAAAATTTTACAAATCTGGGGATGATTGAAAAAGAAAACAGTTGCCAATTGGGAACTCCAAAACGGGCCGGGGGGAGGAGGGGCGGGAGGGAAAGGGGAAAAACGTGTGCAGAGGAAATATTCCTTTAATGAATATTTGATTAACAAAAATGGGCTCTTATCAGCCATGCTTTTTCTGCTCCGTGATGGCTTCCTTTCATCCATAGGCCAGCAAAATGTGTTGGTGATTTATGAGCACCACTCAATTTGGTTACATCCTCCAGACCCTGCTCTTTATTTCAACACTAATGCGCGTATGACAACAGCAGGCGCATCGCTGCTTGTCAGTAGATCTTCATTTTTTATTAAAGTACCACCAGCACCAAACAAAAGTGAGAGCTACAGCAGAAGAAAAAACATTTAAAGATAGAAATATTTCTAAGCACAAATACTTAGCTTCACAGCTGCAGTTAATTCTAAGAAGAGCAGCTTGTTATATAAGCCACCCCTTATTAAGCTGTTGTGTAATTTCTTTCCCTGTAATGGAGGGGATGGAGAAAAGGAGGAACTTTACATTGCTTTAAGCAGTTCTTAGATCCTCTTCATAAATAAAGCACCCCTCTGCCTCAACAGTGAAGTCTGTTGGGGAGCAGTGCATAAGACAATCTTGAAAAGAGCATGACCTAAAGCAAACCTCTGGAAGAACAACTGGTGAGGTCTGAGAAGTACAACCGCAGTGCTGCTTATTTTGTGAGGGTGATACCTTAATAAAGACTGCTTGAAGCCTACAGCAGGTTTTGTGCATAATTCTAAAATACATGGAGACAGCATGGAGCTGGGACCTGTCTGGGATCCCAGGACAGGTGTGCACGCTCCTTAATCTGAAAAGAATTCATTTGGTTTGAGCACTAACTTAAGAAAAGTACTGGCCTATGGCTGAAGTGTGTCACTTTCCACAGCAGCACTCAACAAGAACTGGGACAATTAAATAGCAAGTTTTCATGGGGACCTTGTTGCTGCTTTAGATTCTTGTAAATGTAAGGGGAAAAAGGAGAACCTTTTGTTTTCATAAGAAATTAACAAATAAAACCCTTACTGAAAAAATAGTGAATGGAAAATCAAGGGTGGGCAGACAATCTTAAGAGTGAAGAAGGCCACAAGAACAATTGCATTTTTTTTCTTTTTTTCTTTTTTTTTTTGTAAAAAACGAAAGGAAAACGAGCAGTTTCTGAGTTCTAAAGAATCTGACTGTAATGTTATCGTTGTCCTTTCTCTGGGCAATACGGACTTAATTGTGTATAGCTGTAATTACATAATGAGTCCTTTTGTGGGAAATTCCATTGTTGTTTTTCACAGAATGTAACCTAACACAAAGAGACAGTCTAACATTAATTCCCTTTGTTTGTTTTTCAGTGTTCTGTATACAAATGAAAAATCTTGGATAATTAAGACTGAAGTCACTGAGAATTTCAGTATGCTGACTTTAAAGGTTCTAAGGAAACTCAGGTACTGATGCTTAGCTCTATAAAATAAAACAATATCTAACCCGTATTTTACTAAGTTTATTACAGACCATAATATTTACAAACTTGTATTTTAACTGCGAAGTTTCTGTTGTGTGGTTGTTGGTTTTTTTTAATTTATTATTATTTTTAAAGGACTGCGCCCTACTTTAAGACTTTAAGTAACCCTACAACAAGTACAGGTCATTAACTGGATCTGTGCGACTGCATTAGGAAACAGGCAGTACTCTTGTGTTACAACAAAACAGTTTATTTGTGATCAGTGTTTTATATTCTATACATCCTTCACAAATTTAATTTTACATAATTGGATACTTCATTTAAAACGTAAGGTTTAAGCTTCTAGTTCTTCCCTATAACAGAAGGCTGGTATAAGTTATTTGAAAATGAGGTAACATTTCACAGAACATTTTTTTTCAAGTTTTAGAGAACTAAATTTGCATTTTGTTAAAATCAAAAAGTAGGAAAAAGATGTTTCTTTACAAATGACTTTGCTCAAGTATGTGTTCAAAGGAAACAGGATAAAAAGGCTTTTTTCTTCTAACATTCTGTACTGTACTGTGTTGTTCAATCAATAGGAATTAGCTTCTGCCATTTGCTAAAAGAATGAGTAGTGGGGAACAGGATAAGTTGGGAATTTCATAACTGGTAACAGAACCATTCTCTTGGGTAAACCTACAGAGAGAAAAAAGGGAGAGGACTCCAAATAAGTTCAGTGATCCAAGAAAGTCAGATAAGAGCTTATAATCACGTTTGCATTAACCTTTTTCCAAATCAATCAATGTCATTTTAGGGTGCAGAGTCTCAAACAGTAACATTTCAACACTTTGTGCTATTTCAAACAGATGGTTAGCATTAAGTTTGCTTTTATTTTTGTCCCTGTATTTTGTAAAATTAAGCGGTATTCTCAAAAGAGAATGCGTTTTGTTGAAAAGAGATTGAATTTTAACTCTCATTTTGAAATAGCTTCATCTCTACTACCTCATTCTGTTTTCTAACTTCATAGCCCAGTTACAGCTGCAGATATTCTAGACAGGAACTGCTATGCATAGAAGAAAATTCACAGGGAAACTGCAGTTCTGATAAGCATCTGTGTAGATCAGTCAGAAATCAAGCACCTACAGTAAATTCTATATCTTCTTTGTTTTGCATTTGCTATCCTGTATTGAAGTTGCAAGTCTGGAAAGATTAATATATGCCTGATTTCATGATTATTATAGAGTTCTTGTGGCCTCACAAGCTTCTGCACAATTAAATGCTTTTCAAAAATATTCTTTCCTATTTATATACTAGTTTTTAACCTACGTATCCATTTAGAAATCACAAAGCAGCAACAGCAGGTATTCCAGAGCATCAAATGATCAAAGTGAAGTTTCCCAACATGCAACAGCTTACAAAGGCAGAGAGACGTTTACCTTACAGCCAAAAAGCATTATCCCAGTACTTCGCATCACAGTCATCAGACATTAAAAACAGAAACTCTTTATGTGAAAAATGGGGGCATCCAATTCCACAACGCTTTGAAGTCAGTGATATGTCACATATACACAAATAAGGGATTAAATCCAGCTCCCAAAATAAGCATCATGAGAAAAACATGAAACAGAAGGAACGAAGAAAGGAATATAAGAAGCCACAAGTGAAAGTCACTGCAGAACATTGGTAACAGTTCTGTCTTCAGCTGGGAAAGGATTTGTGTTATGTCACTGTATGCTCTGGCTTGTAAAAATACATATGGGCAGGTATCTAGTGATGTAGGCTATAGCCAGTCACTACAGGTTGGAAAGAAGTAAAGGGATTCTTTTTTTAAATGCATGCCATGAAATAAGCTATAAACTTAATTCCCTTTTATTTTCCCTTGAAAAAACATGAAAAAAAGGTCAGTGTACAGAACACACCAATAGGAAAGCACAGCTGTCAGCTGCCATTTTTCAAAGCACTTGGCCAGTCAGTGAGACAGGATTTGCAGAGCTAGAGAGGTTTACTTCAATTTACAAGGGAGAATTCCACACTTGTAAGAGCAGCCCACTGTCCACTGTACTTCCCCTTTCCACTGTAGAAGTATAGAATAGGACCAGCCAGTCTTAGTCAAGCAAAGTGAATATTTTCAATAAAGCAGCACCATTTTTCCGATGCTTATAGCTCATAGCTCTAAAAGGAAGTGATGAAATAAATATTTGAAACTGTTACAACTGTTAAACTTTTACAATGCTATCTGGGGAGTTGGTATTTTCCAAGCTATACAAATTGGAAAGGAACAACTATTATAAATATGGCAAAAGCTAGGAAATAGGAATGCAAGTGTGGTTTCCCATGTGAAAAAAAAACTGCAGACCTTGAAATGTACCCAGCTTGTCATCTGAGTAGCAGGATTTCCCTCCTGCTCTGTGACAAGTGAGGACACTGGTACCAGTTCTAGTAGATGCAGGGTTTGTTTTTTTGTGTGCCAGGACATATCACTGACTCCAAACTCCTTTGCTCCCATTACCACATAAACCTCATTCAAAGTAACCAAAAGGGCCAGATAGAGATAAATCTGCTATGTTAGTCTAGCATTAAAAAAAAAAAAAAACAAACACAGGTGAGTAGGGAGAAGTTGAAGTAAGAAAAACCTTTCCCATCATTGCTAAATTTTAGTTTATTTTACTGTCTTCATGAAACCAATCCTTTACCAGCCTGATTTTACTGCATTTCTTAGTAAAAAGCATTGTGGCAAATGACCATATACTACCATCCTTGCAGCCTAATCACAGTATAAGCTACACAGAATCATTCTGTTTGTCCCAAGTAGCAGTGGTTTTAGCCTGCAGCAAGGGGGTGTGCTTGTTGGGGATTGGCTTGAGTATGCACACAGACTGTACTGGATATTTCATGGAGTTGCCTATAGTAAGGGAGCTTAGTCCACAAGCCAGTTAAACTTGTAGACAAATATTTTGCCAATGATTTTAATGTCACTTAGATAAATATTGCTCAGAGATGCTGACATAGGCCCTTCGGTAGTCTTTGAATGGAGCACAGATTGGCTGTAAAAAGTAAGAAAACTACTTCAGTTTCAGTATGAGAGGGAACAGGCAATTAGAACAAGCAGTCCTTCCACAAGATCAGGCAAAGCATAGGCAAAAAAGCTACTCCAACCAAAAAAGAACCACAAGGTTATGGCATAGAAGTGTTCTTGTAGTCACAGTTTAAGAGCTTTAATCTCTTAAATTTCTACTGTAAACCCTAAGCCAGCTTGGACTGCCACATTTGGACTGGCACAAGAATTTCTGTGTATTTTCTAATTTGTTAATTACTGGGCTGTACGTACCGTAAGCTGGTGCAGCTGTACTGTACCCATACGGTGCTCCATAGCCTGCAATACAAACAGATGAGGGATGCATTTCATTTCCCCTGGTAACTGCAGACAGTTGGTGTTTGCACACCAAAACACATGTACCCTTTCTGGTACATAGCTTTTCTTCAACTTCCACAAGAAGGAAGGTAGTGCTAGATGCCTGTGGCAGATGCCGTGTCATTATCAGTGAAGTTCCTATGTGAATTCAGCACTTTCTGATACTTGACAGCCAAAAGAAAGTTTCAGAAAGAACATCTGAACATCTAGATGCAAACAGAACAGGAACCTTTTTCCAAAGAGGTAGGCGTTACTGTGGAGCGAGATACAGAAACAGTGCATAACACCAATCTTATAACAACATCTCAATAATTGAGGCTTTACAGGCTGTGTCCCTCACCTGCTTTATCTGGTGGGATTACTTGTCCATCACAAAAAGCAACAGATTTCTGATAAGAGGATGAAGAGAAATACTGTGTGTCGGCCAAGACCAATAAAAGCTTAAAACTGCAATGACTGGGAAATTAAACCTATTCCTGGAGTAATTCCATGCTGGCAAAGAACATGCCCCTGACAGGTTCAAGTGTCTCATAAATGACTCCTCAGGCAGAAAGACAGTTCCAAAACCAATGTTAACAGCCATTAAAAATGAATTACTGTTTTTTTAATATTTATGATTACATCAACATGCAGGAACAATGAAGACATCATGCTGTTTTACTGCGTTCTACTGTGCCAAGAAGGAGGTCTACCAAACAACAGGGCTTTGCTGTTGGTTTGTGTGAATAGCTGAAATTAGAACTCATACTGTAATCTGAAAAGGAGGAAGTGAATATTAAAATTTTCTTGCAGTTCTGTAACACTTTACACTGCGTGTCTTTCAAACCTACTTGCAATCTGCTGGTTAAACAAACAACCAACCATCCGTCACTATATTAGATGGGTCCAGTGAGTCTAGTAGCTGAGCACCTAACCTTTCCAGCTTAAACAATTTTGCTTCTGATGGTTGCAAATCTGCCCTGAAGAATCAGCAGTAAGGTAACCTGATTAACAACTCAGTTTCTCTATACAGTAAGTATGACACACAGATGTGAACTACAAGGCCTCTACATTCCAAAAGATCCAGTGCTCACCGCTAACCAGAACAGTACAACCAAGATGATAAATTAACATCAGCCAGAGTACAAATGGAAATTCTTTTAATTATTTTTTAATCACTACAGAAGGTAATGCTAGATGCTGTGCTTGTATGCCAGATTTCTATGGACAACTTCTGGGATCACAGTGACTCCTAATCGTGCCAGATTTATCCCTGCAAGAAGTTCTTAAGAGGACCACTCATAATGCTAAAGGTCCATGTCCAAGAGATTCCTTACTTAGGAAAAAAGCTTTGGGAATTGTGCCATAGCAGAGAACTACGGAAAAAAACCCAACAGAATAAAGCCCAGAAAGCTATTGTGGGGATAGCTGTTTTCTCTCTGTGTACATGGAGTTCCAGGTTGCAGACTTGTGAAGGATAAAGTACTGCCAGTTTTGGAGCTCTGATTTATTTAAAACCCCAAGAATTCTCTCTTTTGCTTTATCTCAGATGACTGAAGCTGAATAGGTGACTAACACACAGAATGGAAGACACCAGCAGGCAGAATTGAGTGCCATGCCTTACCTGGTGTTAAGTATCCAGTAGCAGCAGCTGCCCCAACAAATGCACCTCTTGTTAAAGCACCTCGTCCTCTACCTCGCACAGCCTGGACTGCTGCAGAAACAGCTGTATTGACAACTCCTTTAGCCTGCTTGGAGTAATAATAATACCAATTCAGAATGTTAAACGTTGCTGGAAATACAGGACCATCTACATTAAATCACTATCTTTCCTGAATGTCTTTAACCATGCATGATGCACTGTCCTTGCTTAAGGCAGAGTACAGAATGGAAAAGTTATGTCAAAAGAATGACTGACAGAAACTGAGTCCCTTCAGCAAACACGTTCTTGTTCTAAATCAGGATCGTGTTCACCTTACTCAGACCTTGTAGTCAGCACGATCAGGCTGTGTTTCATTTTCCAGAGTTCTGGTTGTGTGGTCTTGACCTACCCCAGTCGTTTCTGCACCTTTCTTTGGTATGCCACTCTGCTGTCTTTCCCTACAAACTGCCTCTTGCTGATTCACAAAAAGGCCTTTGCTTTTCTCCTACCACCCTGAATCCATGTATCTTCAGCAGGGTCAGGACTTCACTGCAAAGACAAATCACCACCTCACAAACACTGGACTGCTTTAGATCAGCATTTTCTTTTCCACTGTCAAAAGATCTCAGAATACTGCAAGGAGTTGCAGAAACTGTTACTGCTTACTGCATCAGAGCAGAGCTTAGTGTTACTAGATGCCCCCTTGGCTGTCTTCTAGAAACACTGTAAAATCCTGCATATCCTGTCTGGAACATTATCCTATGAGGTAGTGTTTTTCTGATCTTGTAAACTTTCAGTACAGTAATGAAAATTGAAATACTCCTAACCAAAAGTCTTAGTAAAACGAGGAGGATTGTGATTAGTAATAGAACGAAGACAAAAAGAGTTGACTTGTCATTTAAGTCTATTCTACGATACATTCTGCTCCTGAAATGACAAGAAAATCCTAATGTTAATGTATCTGTACAAAAGAGACCCAGATGGTAGTTGGTAATCCTCATGGTTTGTTTGTTTGTTTTTTTTCTCCTCTGTCAGCAGTTCTCTGTAGGAAAGACACTTGATAGTTTCTGCTCTGTTCAGCCTTAAACTTGAGTGATCACTGGGGCTGTTAAACCTAATGGACAAGACCAAGATTACTTTTTGTTTGTTTTCTTAAATTTTAGAAGTGTTCTTCACTAAACGAAATCTCATTTGCAAAGTCTTGTATAGAAATCTCAGCCTACTCCAGAACCTAGAATCATAGAATCATAGAATCACCAAGGTTGGAAAAGACCTAAAAGATCACCCAGTCCAACCGTTCACTTATTCCCAACAGCTCCTACTGAACCATGTCCCTCAACACAACATCCAGCCTTTCCTTGAACACCCCCAGGCTTGGTGACTCAACCACCTCCCTGGGCATCCATTCCAGTGCCTGACCACCCTTTCTGAAAAGAAATACTTCCTCATGTCCAGCCTGAATCTCCCCTGCCGTAGCTTGAAGCCATTCCCCCTGGTCCTATCACTGATGACAGGAGAGAAGAGGCCGACCCCCAGCTCACTACAGCCTCCCTTCAGGAAGTTATAGAGAGCAATGAGGTCTCCCCTGAGCCTCCTCTTCTCCATGCTGAACATTCCCAGCTCCTTCAGCCTCTCCTCATATGGCCTGTGTTCCAGACCCCTCACTAGAAATAATGCCTTTGCCAAACTACACATGATTTATTCTCTAAGTCTATGTATGTAAGTGATGGAGGAACACAGTATGCTCTGACAAAGTGTAGACTTCCATGTTATCACTCAACCACTGAACTTACTGTATTTTCTCCAGCTCATCACCACCTCTTTATGCCGTCTTTTCTACTGTATTTCCTTCAGTTTAAACTCCTTAATAATATGAAAACATTTCACAGTGGCAATTAGTACTGTGTGGTCCCAAATATCATACTGTGTTGTTATGCTACTGTAGTTACTGTCAAAGAATAAAAGTCAGAAGCCTTACTGTGAGCCCATAAGACAAAACACTGAAATTACTTCCTGTAGAGACTCCTGTATCATAAAAGACACAGAGCTGTGGTAACAGAATGCAAAGCAAGCAACAGTTCTTACCTGGGGAAGAATTTTCTTCTTCTTGTTGTTTGCTGCATTAGGTCCAGAAAACAGTTTCTCAAGTGCTGCTAATGCAGCGCTTGCTTTTGCTACTTTCTTATTTGGGCCTGCACCTCTGAATTTCTGGCCATCTACTTCTACCTGAAAATCGAGATAAGAGTTTATGTCTATTATAAACCCTTGGGAATATCATGCTATACCTGCTGGTCAGCAATGAGACAGCTTCAGTAGTTAAAAACAAGAACTCTGTTGCTTCTGAAACATAATAAAGAATACTGAAGTGATCACATGAACCACTGTTATCACTGAATCAGGAACCTAGAAACTACAACTAGAAGTAAAAGAGGACCAATGTATCTACTTGATAATAAATTTAACCAATATGCTTTAAGTTCAACAAATAAGTGATGCTGCTTGGAAATGGGATTTTGGAGTCAAATTTTGATGCCTCCCTCATCTTTAACAGTGCCTCATATACCAACATCTTTGCTTACACTATACTGATACTATTCATCTGAAGTGCTACCTCATACCTCTTCTAAAGCTCAATGCTACTTCAAATATAGCAGAAGTAGGTGAAGACAAACAAATTTAATCTCTCCCAGTCATTTCAAATGATACTGATGACAACAGAAGATGCAGACTGTAAGGTTACCAAGCATGTTTGTAATGCTTGCTAATCAGATATTTTTTTCCAGGCTGTGGATCTTTTCTCCTACTTATGTCAAGATATGATATGGTTTAGGGCTTTCGAAGTTCAGCTTTAATTCTCATTTTGTTTTCCTAGAGCACAAGAGATTCTTCTGCAAGTCAGGGGAGCAGTAAGAGATACAAAAAGCAAAATCAAAGCAAATCTAAACTGTTGCTACAGGCAACTCCAAGAACTGAAGCAGTGTTAGTAAAATCGCTTACCAACTCTCCAATTCTGTTTTGCTCACCTCCATCACAAAGCGCTTGTCGTGGCTTCCCCCTGTTTCAGAGATGAGCTCGTATTTCAGACCTCTTCTTTTTTCATTGAGCTCCATCACTGGATTTTTGCCACTTGCTGTCAGTATAGGACCCTGAGTTCTTACCTAGAGAGACATTCATGGGGTTGATTTGGAGCCTTATGTCCTCAAACAGTGGACAGATATCTGCAGCATTACAGCACACAGTGTCAAGTGGTCAGCCATTTGACAGCATTTTCAATTTTTAAAGCCTTTGCAGTAGCATTTTGTTCCCAATACACATCTCACCAGAATTTCCAGGAGCAGACCTGTATCAAAGGTAACACTGCCATGATAACATGATAGCACTAGAACAGGAGATAGAAACTCTCTTTTCTAGCACGATAGCAAGCTAGTGGTTTCAGAGCCTAGTCTGGTATCTACGTATCACCAAGCATCACATCAGCTGCACTCAGAATTTAAACCCCCAAGGTATCCAGGACTGAAGTCATGGTGTCAAGTTCCTTGAAATCAAATGCTGATACAGGGAATGCTGGCCTTCACAACCTTGCACACTTCTCTGCTGCTTGATCTAATTACTTTCTGGTGCTACTGAGAGAGCTCTGACTGAGGAAGTTTCAGCACAGGTCACAGGTTGAAACAAATATATCTGGAAGCAAGGAGGGTTGTGTTTAGATTTAAGTGCACTCAGCTACAGGTGCAAATGACCACTCATGAGTAAAGAGTGATGGATTGAGAGAAATTTCCAAACACAAGTTCTAATTTTAAGGATCCAGAGTTTTAGTGCTAGGAACTGTCCTTTGAAAGTAAATTAATATACTAGAGGCCCATACCACCATGATTTCAGAGATGTTCAGTCAGGACTGCTAAAATTTCTGGTAATTTGAGGAATACTGTATTTAAATTCAAATTATCAGTCTGCAGCCTATGGCAGGACAGGTCTGAGCCTGGAAATCCTTCAATTTCTCAACCACTGCTGTAATTAATAAGTCATCCTCTTCCAGGAAGGAAAGAAAGAAACAAAAACCACTGTATCTCTTCATCACTTTGACTTTTCTATGGACTACTCACCTCTAGGGTAGCAGAGGTGTCAGCTGTAGAATTTCCAGTATTATTGCTTGAGATTGAAGACACTGTTTCATTTTTACCTTCGTTATCTGATTTTTCATCAGAACTCACACACTCAACATCTGCATCAAAACCAGTTGGATAACCCATTGCTTGTAAAACCTACAATGAAAATACAGGTAATTGGCTGTAAAATAGGTACTAGTACAGAAACAAAAACAAACATAGAAGGCTGATCACAAAGGAAGAATTGCCACCAGACTCTTAGTAAAGGCACAATGCTTAGAAAATGTATCTTTCACACTGAAATGGAGAAAAGCAGAGTAGCTATAGGAAAAATAGTCCCAGGTTTCCAGAAGTAGAATCAACACAAACAGAAATTTTTGTCTCTTTGTGCTGTACATTTAGCTGAATTTTCAGGGCTCCCAGTTTTCAGAAAGGTCAGATCTAGAAACTGAAACGTTAAGAGTAAGTTCCCTTTTCAGTATGGGAAACCAAGGCCCAGATTTGCCTGGGGTGTAGGGGGAATAGTGAGAGTGGGGTGCTGGCCAGGGAAGGCTAGTCTGCCACACCATCCATTTGCTCTTGGCTTGAATCAGGGATGTTTTTAAATGCAGCCCAGGATATGTGTGTGGAGATAGGGAACAGAGCTGGGTAGGTACCAGCAAAGATCTGTCAAACACAGAGAAGTTCAAGGGCAGAGAAGTTACAGCCCTTCAGAGCGAGCCTTAGCTCCCCTTCCCCACTCCCTCTCTTTTACTTCCCTGCAAACAGCTGCAGGGAGTGAGGTAAAATAAAGGCATGAGGAAGAAAGTCAGGAAGGACACACATGCAGAGCTGCCTTTCCTCAGGAACAACACATTCGCTCAGATACTTTCGGACACTTTGAACTTGAAAGCACAAAGGACAATGGGATTTTCAATACTGAAACCAAAAGAAAGCACAAAGTTGCCAGATGAAGCTTCTGAAAAATGCAGTTCTTAAAAACGCACAGAATGACAGATGCACTTGTTTTTACCATAATTGCAGTTAAGAGGTTCTCCTACAGATAAATCATGTGAAAGAAATTTCCCTTTTTCCAGAAACCCAAGACTTGGTCTGCTTTAGTATCTCCACTACCTCCTTGTCATGCAGTAAAGGTGCTCACATTGGGCATTCCAGTCTACTGATGTTTAAAATACAAGAGCTCTGACAATGTGCAGCACCTACAAGAAGTCAACCAGTGACTGTGTTTCAGTCTCTTACTGAAAAACTGACTGGAGACCAACCACTGTGCATAGTGTTTACCACTGTGCATGAAGGTATTCCAATACTGACGACAGAAAACAGCTCCTTGTTTCAAGGAGTTTAACTGTCTGTGAACGGAGAGATTTGGAGAAGAGGGGTCTAAGGAGCCACCAACATGCTGTCTTCTAATCAACAAGAGCAAGAAGTAAAACGAAACTGACACACAGACACCCCTCCCACCGCTGATGCAGAACTTCAATACCACGTTCAGTCCATGAGCTGACATGTAGAGCCATGGGAGATTTTCCTTCCACACTGTTCCTCTCCACTACTCTAAAATCTGTAATGCTTTTTCATCCAATTGCCCAACCACGTTCTGAGTACATAGGTAGTAACTCACCCTCACTCAGATAACTGTATCTCAATAGCATTACTGGCTGTGACAACCATGTTCCATGCTCTGTGTTCCAAGATTTGAGGTTAGCTGATTACTTTAGGCTGCCTTACCTTCACTGCCACGTGGAGCTTGGCTGTTTTCTTAGAAGGTCCTGATGCTTCATATGTTGTACCATCAACATCTACAGACATTGTGAAGACTGGGGCATGGACTGGACCAGACTGGGACAGCAGTTTATACTGAAGCCCCGGCCTGATTTGGTTCAGCCTCATCAGAGCATTCATGAGATCTATTGCTTTACTATCTAGTACTAAGTGGGGGGAGAAGAAAGGAGGGAGATTAACAGGATAAATAAAGAAATGAAACAGTTTGTATCAGTTTGCATTTAAGTGCATTGTTGGTATAAAGGTGAAAACAACCTCCCAGTCTCTTGAAGATTAAGGGTAATCACAACATTTATGTCTGCAATAAGCTATTTCATGTTTGGGTAACTATAATTATCCATATTTTAAAATGAATTCAACTCTCTTACAGCTGACTGTATTCTTCCTGGCCTTTATAATAACAGTTTTGTAAGTAGTGAAGAACCAGGCACAGAACTGGCACCAGTGGTAGCACAATCAAAATACCCTTTAGATGTACCTAGATATCCTCTAGATAGATATCCTCAACGCTGAGATCTTTTTATTCTGTGCATAAATTCATTGTCAATGTTTTGTAGATGAAGCATTTTATGTTTTTCTTGTGGGAGGCTATTGAGAGACCAGTAGCTATCTCAAGAAGGGAGTGCAACAAGGCAAACCTTCACACTGCAGTATTACTGGGGAAAAAACAGTAGAGTGAAGCAATCAATAAAATACTTTAATCATTTAGGAAACCTAAATTTTTCCATGACCTGACAGGCTATTCCATTTAAAACACAAGTGACTGGGTTATTAATACATGTCAGGAGACATCCAAATACACAGTAAGAACTGTGTAACACTTGCAGTGCTGGACAGTAGCAACACCATTTTTTGTTCCACAGACTGTTTCACACACTATTCCACTCCACCACAGAGAAGCTCTTACACCAGTTCCTATGTATGGTGTATCTTTGAAAACAGAATGGAGAAGTGTTCACTTACTTTTCCTCAGATTACGCTTCATCTTTTTATTTGGATCTTTATCATCCCCAACACCATCTTCAAACGGTCTCTTGAGAGCAGATGAGCCTGTACCTAGGGTATCATGAATGTACTATTAGGAAAAGAAAATTCTGAAACAGGATTCACAGCAGTCCCATACTGTTCTTTCCATGTTTATAACTATGAAAAAACCCCTCAGCCTTCAGTCAAAGCTTTCTTATTTGTACATGTGGGCCAACAGGAGCTTATTACTCATTGTACTAAGCCATGGAAGATGTCTGTTTCCAATATTATGTGCCATATAAGTAATGAAATTCTTGTTACGGACATTCATTATATGCTTTTTCATCAGTCTAAATTCTCCCCTTCCCCATCATATGAATCATAACTACTATTTATCTTTAGGTCCCAAAATGACTTTGTGCTTAAGGAAAACTGTCCATACCCTAGCTATACTGCTACTACTCTGTTGGTAGTCTGGAGAACTTCCACACTTTCTCCTAACAACAAATAATTAAGTAAAAGACAAAAACAAACAGAAATTTAACATAAAGAAGAGCTTTTGCCTTACGTTCATAGCATGTATCTCAGGAGTTCTGTTCATTCTACATTAATTCCTAGTTTACTTCCAAATTAGTAACTTTTGAAGCAAACAATACTTACCTTCTTTGTCAGCTACTGACCAGGAGTATTTCTGAAATGACTTATTTGATGGGAGTGGATCCATTTCCAAAACCTTATAAATCTGACCAAAGGCTGATAATCTGAGGGCATGCTACAAAGTGACAGTAGAAATAAAAGTTACATCACAGCACTGCTTTTTCCACAGTTGTCTACATTTCTGAGTTTGCAGTCTTTTCCTTTATGTGGAATGACAGCTGTAGAAAAATGTTTATTTATAAAAATCTAAAACTCTTTTTCCATAATAGAAAGTGCAGGCCACATTGACAGCGTGCCTACTCTAGGACTCTGGGCTGTGAGCACTTGAGATAGGATGCAGGTGTGCACACAGTGGGCTGCTAAAGGATTTACTTCATCTCTGCTAAACTCTTGCACTCATCATTTCATCTTCTCATTGTAGGGCACTAGAAGAACCATTGGGACTGCTTTTAAAATATGCCACCCTGTCAGAGAATAAATTGAATTAACCAGTTGAAATCTTCAGTATTACAGCATCTAGCTCTTGAGGATGAGTTCTGTACCTGAGCACTGTGCGTAATGGCTTCTTTTTGCTGAACTGTCATATCAGACAGAGCATCTGTTGGCTCCCGTTCACAGGGGTCATGCAGACCAGGGCCTCCTGTGAAGAAAGATAAAAGGAGATTATTGGGAGAAAACATGAAACAATATGAAAATAGTGACTGTTGGATTTTGCATGTGCTGGTCTCTATCTTCAGCAGTGCTCCTTTTCCAAGAAAGGATTCAAATATCATAGAAAGCAAGCTAACCCTTGAAGCAGGAGGCCGTGGTACTAATCCTTGTAAAAATAAATGCATACGTACAGCTGTGTGAACTAGAAGTAGGAGGTTTAACAACAGTAATGATTTGGGTACATATGCTGATTTCAGTTTAACAATAGAAAGCAGGCAGTCATTAGGTCAGTATTTATACGTAACCCCTTAATGAAATAGAAGTTTATTTATAAGCAAACCTAGCATTTCCCTAGAGGTGTTCATGGCCAGGTTGGATGGGGGCCTGAGCAACCTGATCTAGTGCCTGATTTAGTGTTTGGAAACCCAGCCCACGGCAGGGGGTTGAAACCTGATGACCTTTGAGGTCCTTCCGAGATTCCCTATGAACTCCTAACTGCATTGGAAGTACTTCATTCAAGCAGTTAAGACTGTGCAACCTTCCTTTTGTCTTTCAGTTTTAAACAAGAAGTCATTAATTTAGCTCCACAGCAGGCAGGGAGCACAAGGTAGACATTTTTCACCTAATCATACAGCAAGCAGCAGCATGCTGTTAGAAGGGTGAGGGCTGCCTGATAAGTCTTTTGTATTCCTGAAGTTAATCCAGCCCCTTACCAGGAAGCAGAATTCCAGATGCCAAGCACTCCATCACTCGTCGTAATGCTTCCCCAGCGCCCAAAGGTCTATTACAAGTACCTATAGATTTTTCACATATAAGCTCGAGTGGCTAGAAGACATTAAATTACGATTAGTATGGACACAAGGGTAACTGTATCTGTAGTTAAAAAACGAGAGGTTGAGGGGAAGAACATTCACATCAGTTTACTCCAATTTTAATGCACTGCGGTCCTAACTGCAGATACTGCCATTCCAGCACATGTAATATTCCCTGCTCTGAGTTTGTTACCTTCTGAGGAGACGAATGCTCTCCATTAACTGAATAGGAAAGTCTAAAAGGATGAGCCTTTTACAGCCAAATCAGGAATGTTCTTCTACTGTCTAAGGGATATTCAAGGGGGTTGGACTTGATGACCTCTTCGAATCCATACAATTCTTTGATTCTGTGATATCAGTTCTACATGAGAGAAAACACTGCCTTCTGTGACCCCTTAAGTGTTCCTTTCTGGACATGCAGAGTACCTGGCCCTCTCCAAACCTGCTAACATGGAATAATGTGGTCTGATAGGACCACCATCGCCACTGTAGCAGGGGACTCTGAATAGCTGAAGTTGGACGTAACATGGGGAATTCTGTTGTAAACCCATAACGGTGTGCAGTTCCCCACAGTGTCATTCCTCCTTCCTTAATAATGGCACACCTAATAGGCTGAACAAATATTCATACTCTTTTTCTTCCTGTAAGCACACTCCTATGCAGGCAGCAGTTAGTGGAAAGTTCGGAGAGTTGGGAGAGAAGCTAAAGGGAGATACATCATACAGCGCACTGCTTCCCCCAGTTCAGACACTGCTACAGCCCTTAAAAGAAGTCTGAGATCTGAGCAGGTTGCCTTCAGCTCTTTTTGTACTTACCCATCCTTTCAGTGGTGCCCATGTGGGGACTCTGTTGCACAAATCCCGCAGAATACGCAGCACAATTACACATGATTTTAGTCCATTTGCCCTGGCCTAAAACAAACAAAATGGTTCCAGTATACCTGCAAAAAACCTTGCCTTCACTTTTGCTTTTCTTTTTAAATGCACAGAGTCCCAGGATAGGCTTTTTTTTAAAATGATAACTATTTAATGCTTAATCAGACTCATGCAAAACAAGAACAGTTATAGAAAATAAAATACTTCAATTTATAGAGAGACAAAAAGGAAGCAAAACATCAAGATTGCTTTCGTAGTCTCACAACAACTCTAGACCAGTTGGCTGTGTACCTGTCATGCCTGCCCTTATACAGTACAGCGCTGAATTCCGAATTGCAGACCTTTGCTCTACTAGGGACTAATCAGAAATTAAAGAGGCATTAAAATTAAATATCTCAAATTAAACCTCGTAAGGCTACAGTAACAACAAGGTAAGAACAAATAGCCAACCTGAAACCATTTGGCGTGCCGCAGAGACGCCAAGGCCTCCAGGCATTTCTGCCTGTCCAATAAGTCCGGAGGATCTTTCATCGCAACACTGTCTACTGGTAAAAATGGGATAAAAAGAGACAGATACAATTTGACCAAGGGGTTTCTGTCACAATACAAAAAGAGCGGCAGCATCTCAAAGAGGTAATAAGACTCCCAGAATTTAAGTGCACTGTTATTTAATTTAAACAAGCTCTTAAAGGTAGTAAATGTGCACGTGTGCAACAGAAGCAAAGGCATTCGCTCCTTATAAAATAATAGTAATAATAAAGATGGCCACTGCTATAGACAATCTGGGATCTTATTAAAAATGTAGAACACATTTCAGGGCAGAAAACAGCTATATAGCACTTTTTTTGGTTGTTCTTTCCCTTCTTTGTGACTTTTAAGTGCACAAAAACGGCACAGGATTTTAGAGACAAGCTTCTTTTGACAAGGGGAAGATTTTCGTGAGAGGGGTAGAATATAAAAAACAGTACAGAGTGCTCTGAGGTTATTGCTGTGCAAGCGTGGGTGATTTTTAAGAAATTGAATTTATTTGAAATGTTTTTTATTGAACAGTATTAGCAGTATTGAACAGTAATTCACTGAAAGAAATATGTAAGAAATGCTAATGAGAAATTTCTGCAGTTTGATTAATTTCTCATATAACCAAAACATAGGAAAGAAAGAAGTTTGGTAAATTACAGATACATTTTGAGAAGTAGCCCCCACTTGTAAAAATCTTCACTCTCAACAGCAACCAAAAACAAACAGATGAAATTCAAAGAAGGATTTTAGAGACAAGACGTTTTCTGTTGAGCTTTACACTTTCCTCGCATCTCTTCCTCTTTTTTTGATGCAGCGTGCAGACTGCTCTTAGCAGTCGCATCCAATTCTGAACAAGCAATGTTGTAACAGCCCTTTCCTCCCTCGTTTTTATTTTTTCTTAAAAGGAGCAATCAGCTTCCAGACTTTCTGGAAACTACAAATGACAGATTGTACATATCGGACAGCATGTAGATTCAGATTTTCTGTGACAGGAGAACATCAGAGCGGAAGAAAAATGAATTCATGGCTCAGCTGTAACTTGAACATGTTGTTTTCCCATGAATACACAACTATTCTTCAAAGTAAATATTTTGGAAAAACTAAAACAACCTTTTCATCATTGCTAATGGACAGCTCTACAGCCTGCAAGAGAGATTATGAATGTCTGGATGAAATAAAACATCCAGTCCAAAATCTATGCTGGATTCAGTATCCAGAAAGACTTTTAAAATATCAGGATGTTAGGAGAAAAAGTACAGTGGGTTTGTACGTTGCAGTAGGTACTTTTCCATAGGCTTCTTTCAGTGGCATTGTTTGTACGTGGAATCACACCTTTAACGTTAAGCTGCTCCACCTCCTGTGCCACCAATGGAAAGGTTACTCTGGTTAAAGCACATTATGTTCCAACGGATAAAAGAGCCCAAAGCCCAAAAAAAGTGTAAAACTGAACAGAACCAGGTGTCTTGTCTGATAGTCCATAGCTGCATCTTGCACCTGCTTGTTCTGCTGTCAGCAGAAGACTTAAGTGCTATAAGCTTATTTTCTGACCCTGATGAACTTCACAGCAGATATTTGCATTGTTTCTTATTGCCCTCAACAACACCATTATAATATTGAGATTAATCACTTCTCTTGCATGTTCTCCAAATAAAAGCTGCAGTCTCAAGGTACTTGCTTGCTATGAGAATACAAGGTCACTTACGAACACAAAGCTTGCTTCTAAATTTTGCAGTTTCATTTATTTTCAGGAGTAGTTTCATGGCACAATTACTAAATATACATCTGTGCAGTTGCATAAAAAGATCCTTTATTTTGGACAATAAAAACATCTGCTTAAAGCTCACATATTTTATAAAACAACTACTGTCAATGAATGATCAGAATCTTATTTTAAAACGTTAGAAATAGCAAAGATGACTGACTGCAAACTCATTAGATTTGTCAAGATACAGTTCATCACCAAGCTAGCCTACTGCACAAGACTGCTAAAGCACGTTGCATCAGGTGGCAAAGAAGTTTGTTTGCCTTAGAACTGTAAGGCCACAGACACAATATGTCAGTCATTCCGGTGAATGAAAAGGCTTTTCTATTCTCTTAAGATCTGTTTTCAGCAAACTGAAATCTTAATTCTGCAGTAGGAATAAGACCATTTCGAAAGGCCTATATTAGAAATAACTTGGGGAATTTTGCTGATTACAGTTTCAGTACTGGTGTTCTGAGTACTTTGTGCAGATGCTGCAGTCAGCCAACTTCTGGTGCTATTAAACAGGAGGATGAAGAGAACAGGCAGTGAAGAGGGTGAGCAGCTTGTAGCAGACTGCCTTTCAACATCCTCAGGAGAATGGCATGTTTCTTCATGCTCTGCCAGTCAGCAAAGTGAGACCCAATCAAAATTTTTCAGGTGTGGTTGCAAAGCTTTCCTTTTTTTTTTTTTCCTTCTGGTTTTAGCAAAAGCAACGACACAAGGAGTTTAAACAAGTAGAAAATAATAAAGCCCTGACATCAGCTCACACACTGCAACGTAGAACCAATCTTCAGTAAATCTCTCCCCACTTGCTGTATTTACTCCCTCCTTACAGCGGCTGCCAACTTCATTCACTTAAGTCAGCCACACAAGGAGTGTTGTGTTCTCCACAGAGGCAAGGTTCCTCTGTTCTGGAGCATCACTGGCTGCCAGCTAAGGCAGGCTGTTTATGTAGAAGGTGCTCAGTTACAGAGCAGGGTTGATTCCAGCACCACTTTGGTAACTGAACTGGTTTATTATTACATAAAATTAAGTGACTATTGCTCAGTAGCAGGAACTGATTTGCCAGGTACAGCATTCTGGTTTGGAGAGCTTAATTTATATTTGATGTTATGGCTAGAAATTAGTTTCAGTTTAATCTGAAGCAAAATGCAAGCATTTAGATGCTTATCTTCTTAACATGAGAAAGCAGAGCTTTATGGATAGCCATTTGAGAAACACTGAAATGCACGCGCGCACACATACACACAGTAGTCCACTATTTATTTTTGCTAACAGGCAGCAAAAACAAATAGGGAAACACCACAGTTTAAACATGAACACTTTTCCAAGGAGGTGGGGACTGAAGAGAAATCCAGAAATGCTTTTGATACATTCTGACATCAGGGCATGAAGGTACACACAGCATTCCTACAGAACAGATGGGAGCACTGAGAAGGAGGCCCGTTGCCCTAACCTCACTGATTTGGTTAGAGGAGGATTAGTGGCTCACCACCGAACAGTGAAACCTTGGTCAGTTTCGTGTGGGCTCTGCACCCCGGCGGAGGCTTGCAGGACGCCTGGATGCAGGCAGCCTGTCTTACACTAAAGATGAAAGGCCAAATGACAAGCATTTAATTCCTTCATCAAAAATACATGGAATAAACTTGGATCGGTTTTTAAAATTGCACAAGGTTGTAATTAAGTTTGGTTGGCATTTTTTCCAGGAGTATTGAGATAAAAAAAAAAAAAGGCACTATTTTCTTTGGAGATCAAAGTATTTTTAGATGAAAATTTCTCTGAATATTTTCACTTGGTAAAAGGGACTCAAAGAATTGCAAATATTGTGAAAAAATATGAATTTATATTTTCCACTTAATTTACACATCAGTATTTGCATACCTTTTATACAGGGAGACAATACATTTGCTTCACTTGGGATGAATCAGAGTCAAAGAACCTGCGCTTCAAAACAAGATCCATTTACCCACCTATTCTTATCAGCTTTACAGAAATAACAGTGTAACACTGCTCCAGAGGCAGTAACACAGTTTCATGTTTTGAAAAAATAGAGTAGTTAAGATAGGAAACTATTAAAATTAAAATCCTCGTTCATTTTGGGATGAATTCCAGAGTCATAAGAGTTCATTGCCACAGCAGCATCCCTTACTTTTTTTGCAGCATATTTGAACATATTTGGATGGAAGCCTTTGCAGAAAACCATCACCTTGTGGGCATATTACAAATGCCTTGTCATTAAAACTTGTTCTGCACTTTGTGCATCTCCTCATAAACATCCATCAGCTGCAGAAACAACAAGCCTGACCAATGTCTTGTGGCAAGCTGAAGAACAACTGAAGTAATATGCAGTTTCTTTTTAGTGGTCTTGCAAAAGAGCATAATTACTAATTTGAGAATAAACAGACACTGCAATTAGGAAATCTTTGCCGTTCATCTGTTTTGTAAGATGTTTCTGCATCCAACTGCTGCCAGAGTGCTAAGTTTCCTTTCAAAATGAGCCTTCCTGCCCTTGCCTCAAACGAAAATGAAGAGAAACTGACCAACATTTCATACTGTATCGGTAGTTTATGTGGGAGAGGGGAGGAAGCAAAGGACTTGTGGCAAGTCTAGAATGGGAAGAGAGCAACAGGGAGTTCCCTAGCCCACATGGGCCCAGCTGCCTCAGTTGTCATGACAGAGAATGGCCAGTTGGTCAAAGGTCTGACATCATCCAGTGGCAAAGTCTCTAGGGATTGGCTTGGGAAGCGAAGCAGAAATTACTGACATGATTTAAAAAAAATAAAATATGGCTACATTTGCTCTTCTCTATTTCTCTGTTTCCAGCCTCATTGATGCTACCAGTCAACAGTTCTTGAAAAAGGGGCTTATGACTAGATTGGAGGTCAGGCAGTTAGGGAGAAGGAGTAGAAAGAAACTAAGTTGCAGTTTTCTAAATCTATTTTGCACCAAGGATATGAGGTACAACATTTAATTCAGAAGCAAAAGTACTCCATTATAGCACCCCAACTTCAATTGAATCCAAGTCAGGAAACTCTTAAATCTAGAAACACACATATGTATCAAGAACAAAAATTGAGGGTCAGGGGAATATGCTTGCAAGCTTTGCAGGAAAGTTACTGTATAAAAGAAGAGAAACAGTTTAATGGGTTTTTCAAGATACTGGGAACCAATCCCACTTGACTGACTGAATTTAAAAAAGGACTGTGCAGCGCTGGGGTGCTCAAGAATCAACTAGCAAGACTGAAAGAAAGGAGAACTAAGATACCATTCTGTATCAGGTTAACACTACCAGTATTGCTTGCACATGAAAGCTAATGCATAGTTACATGACAATTAAGTGACTGTTGTCTTCTTAAGGCATAAGTAACGTAACCAACTGTGGCAATAGCCAGTCTGGTTAGTACAAAATACACAATCAAAAACCTACTTGCTTTTAACCCTGTGCTGCACAGTCAGGGTATTTAGATAGAATTCAGATAGAACACTCTTAAAAACAAGTTAAAACGCTCCGTGTACCTCCTTCCTTCTTCTCTGCTTCATCTCGAATGAGAGGGGACGTAAGTATCACCTTCAAGGTTAGCTTGGGCTCCTTTGTGTTACGAATAATAATAGCTGCCTCATTTACATGCTCCTCCACGAGATACTTCTCTTCTGTAAGTTTCTGAAAGTCACCAAGAAAGATTTCAAGAATCTCCTAGTCAACTGAAGAACTGTGGTTTCTGTACCTGCAACACACCTCTGGAATTAACGAGAAGGCTACAAAAGATTGCAGTAACAAGTATGGCCCTGCCTCCGTCAGTGAAAACAAACTGAAAAACCCAGTAACATGCTTGAAAACAAATATTCTGCAGTAAATTTAATTACAGTGCTAAGTAGCTTCCCTATCAATATATTGTATACAGTCGTGTATTATCACATCTTTATTTTAATCAAAAACAGAAGCCCACTTTTGTAGCTGCTATTATGGGAAATAGTAACATCTACTATTAGTCTTAGAAAGTGCATGCCTGTCCAGCAGTGCTGCCTCTAACTGTAGAAGCTCTTGTGTGCAGTAGGACCAACACAACCATAACTGTCAGCACACACGGACAAGAGCCTCCAGAACAGGATTGGCTGACGAAGTCCATTTCTTACCAACTCTAAGCCACTCTTCAAATCCCAACAGATAGTTTGGAGAGGTGCTGAAATCTCTGCTGATTCTTATCCGCACGCAATTCTGACGGCCTGTTTTGGAACAAAACTGCCCCTTGCTACACTTCCAAATACGTGGATTCCACTTCACACTACTTTTGGTAGCCATGGGAGGTACTGAATTCCTGTCCCTTTATAAATAACCACTGACATCTTTTAGAAACTCACAGTTGCATTTCCATCTTGCATTTTTCCAAACACAAATATATTAATCTTTCTTCAGAGGCTTAAGGTGCTCACTCTTCTGATTTTGTCTCTTGATCTCTTCTTCACACAGCACTTGAAACTGAATGCAAGACTCCACTGTTATCCAGTGCACTCACTGATACCAGCCCCAGAAGAGATTCCTGAGAATGCCTAGAAAACCTGACCTTCCTCTCCTGACAGCACATCAGTAAGTCAAGAGTGTCTTTCAAACTGATCTATTTCCAGACATTTTTCTCTTGCTTAATTACTACCTACAAAAGAATTTAATGTAAGTTGCCTAATAATTTGTCCTAACTAACATCAAAATTATCTCAACTGATCTGTATCTCTCACCCTTAAGACCTGCACAGAAAACTACAAATTAATTCTAAAGCTAACTCCTAGTATTTGTATGTTTCAGCAAGATTACGAGGTTAGAACATTAGTAATTGGAACATATCTAACTACTTTTCCCGTTGAGACTTGCACCCCAACTCCAGTAGTGTTGAGATGAAATCACTTAAGCATCTGCTCATGGTTAGCCTACAAGGCAAAATAAAGCAGAAGCTAATATCTCTGTACATCAGGTGCAGGTTTTGCCCACTAACAAACCTACATCTTCCTTGTCTGTCCTTGTCTGGCATGTCTGCAAAACCTCCTTATTGTCATGACAGTTGTAAGCTGGTTTCATGATTTAGATCCCTCTTACCTCAACTTTAAAATAAAACCAACAGCAACAAAAAAAGCAAACCAAAAATCCCAAGCGTACACCAGCTTTTCTTATCACTTTCAACCTTTCTCAACTCACATCATCTGTGGACAGGGAACAATCATAGTATTTACTATCTCATATCTCTTTATGCGAACAAAGGAGCAGTGAGAACCAACAGCTGTCAGAAGTGGCAGAACACATATAGTCCATGTGGAAATAAGCAAGGCAGAAAAACAGATCAGGAGAGAAACGAATCCTGTTTGGATCTGGTTTGGAGAGAGGCACTTGCAGTGCAATATTTTGGGGCACAGTTTCTCAGTAACAGCGTTATGATTCAATCTGGATTGGACTTAAAGGTATCTGGATTGGACTTAAAGGTATTAGCTTTTTAGCTGCTTTGAAGAGACCAGTGTTAACTCTTAAGTGCTGGATGCCAAAATTAAAATGAAATAGCCATAAATAAAAACAATTATAAGCTCATGAATAAAATAAGCTACAACGAGCGACCATCTAAATTGACTTTTTTCTCACTTCAAATGTACAGTGGCACTTATTTTGGGGAAGCCTAAGGAAAGCAAAGCTACTACAGTGTAGAACTCAAGAAGTTCAGGCAGGGAAGCGGAGAACAACAAGGACCGCATGCTTGAGCAGGGAGTTATTTCTGAGACTACTGTTAGCTCACGTTACTGATTGGAGCAGAGAACAAAAATCAGCAATATTAGTTACTAAATAGAAAGGTTAGCTATCAGAATGGGAAAACTGACATCACAAGAAGGGATTAGGACAGCACCATGAGCAAGACGTTAAATTCTGTGAATAGCTACTTCATAACAACGCATTGGAGATGTGGTCTAGAGGTGTTGTCCTAGATTCAAAGTATGCTTTTTAATCTTTAACACATTTCTCTTCTCCTGGAAGGAATTACAGTCTTTACCCAAACACATCTTGCAGTGCTATCATTCATTGCTACAGGACTACCCTGAATTAACTCACCTGAATTTGAATGGGGAGATTGTCTTTGACTATACATAATAAGGTCTTTGTGGGTTTTTCTTTGCACATGAGAACCAGCTCCAAATCCATATCATCTTTTATCAGCAAACCCTTTGCAACCAAGCCAATTCTCATAACACCACACAAGGTCCGACCACTCTGATCCCTGGAAATGAAATAATTCTGAGTAATTAAAATGGTATTTTTACATATTCAAAATACTTGTATTATGCTATAACAGTGAGGAGACAAATGGATGGGACTGATTACAGTGCTGAAGTGGCATATTACTTATCAGAAAATTAAGCATAGAATGCTTTTATAAAAGTGGTTCCTATGAAAAAAAATAATCAAAGCATTGATTTGCAATTCACATGAGTGCAGAAGATGCCTAGCTCAAGTCACAAAGCACAAAAAAAAGCAAAATTAACTGTCTGCAGATCTGCCAAAAGAATACAGTAATTATGATGTAGACAAGCTCTGACAGAGTTCCCATTAGCAGAAGTGATCTGAGCTGTCTTTTAGCAATGCTCCAAGTTTAAACACAGCCGTAGCCCTTCATAATGTTTTGTTTAATTCATATAGTCAAACCTTAACCTTAAAATTTATATCAAAAATTATTATTATTTTAATTGTAGCACCTCCTGGAAACTGATTTTTCAATAAAAGTCCTGGTTCCAGAAAACCTTCCAGGCCTAATTCCTTCAACAGGTCTCACCAGTGAAACCTACAGCAACAGAGGTTTGAGTTCTAGGCACTAGATTCCAGTCCCCAGTAACACTTAGGGAACATTTAAGGACCACAGCAGACAACTTGCAAAGCGATGTGAGAACATTTTAGTTCTGAGTATTGAGAAGAAAACTGCAACAAAAACCAGTTTAGTAGGCTAAAGAAAAACCATAAAACTTGCATAATAAACAGCGAGGAAAATGCAAGAAATGCACCTTTGACAGTTCAAAACCAGCTACTGCCATGACTCATCTCACATACTGTGGCACCAACTAGCGGCACATCCCCCTTACAAAAACAACAGAAAGCACATAATCAGTAAAAGCAGAAAATCATCTCAGCCAGTAAGGCAGCATCCCTGTTCCTGTCATTGTTACCATCCAGTAGGTTAGACTGGATAAAAAAAAAACAACAAAGCATATCACATTGTAATCCAAGATCATCAAATGGATCTTAAGAGATCCTACGCTTCACTCGATCAATAACATCATCCAACCATCCCACAGACTTTGCGCAAGTACTTTAAGTGGAAATGCTGCAACAGGTGTCTGCACAAACAGAAGAAAGGAAGGTCAGTCAGCAGTCCCACTATCCCAGGAACAGTCAGAAGCAAACAAGCTTTGGCTTTTTTGAACTACTGTTACAGAAGCAAACAGCATCTCAACTTCTAGCCTGAAACTGTGCTACTTAGCCAGTATCTGGATGCAGATAATTCCTTTGAATATGGATTGCAGCTAGCAATGAAGATAATTTACATCGTAGGGAAATATACTTTAGCCCCTTTTAGCTTGTAAGTGATTAGTAAAATAATCTGCTCCCAAACAAATGCATAAATAAGCAAATTGTTCTATATGTATAAATAATGCATGGATGTTTGCAGTAACTGTACTCCAGATTTGTAATAGAGCAGAAGCACAAAACCACATGCAAAGGTGTGAATAGCAAGGCTGTCCAATTGTCTCAAAAGCGCTTAATGCAAGCCTGGAACTTTTTTAATATTTATTTTTAGAGAATCCATTCCACGGGCTGTGCTGTCCACATCAGAAGACATGTGGAGACACTGCCAGTAATTCTAAAAAATAACCAACAAAGCGTGTAGTGCACTTAGAAGGACTTTTTCTGTGGGAATTGGAACTTAAATACCTTCTTCAATAAGATGACAACATTAAATTGGCCATCTGTAGAAAAGCAGCCTTTCAATACAGCACAGTTATTCTGCAGTGGTAATACAATTGGCTAAAATAATTTTTTACATTAGTTTATGTAACAATATTCATGAATTTGCATGTCTTGCTATTTCTGTTTGAATACATTTCACACCAAACAAGTGATACATCACAGCTCGCGTGCCTGTTAAATATTTATGACAGAAAACATAAAGCCACAGGAATCGAGTACATCTGTACTTTTACTTTTCAAAGCTATTCTGTTATGGTCTTCATCTGGCTGAACATTTCCTATTAGAAACTACATCCGAAGAAGGCGGTGCCCCATTGGAACTTCACACAGAACAAGCAGTTCTTACGACAGTTCCCAGGCCCATAATTCTGTATTAGACAAAGTCCAATACGAGTATAAATACTAAAAAAAAATCTGCAGAAAAATGCTATTAATACTTGAGGGATTTTCTGTAGAACCCACAATGCTATTTGGAAATAGCAAGATACCAAGTCATGAATGCTTGCTGCTCCTCCCACCCATGAAGGATTTTTCCTAGTTAATACAGAAGCAGATTTCTTGTTTCTAAATTGGAGTACATTCAGATGGTGAGGCACAGCAGAGCTTCATACTGCATTTCCTGAATGCTTTATGAGACCTGGGAAGAGCTAAGAACCACATTACAACAACAGAACAAGAAGCAGCATTTCATTTTTAAAATTCCAAAGATACCCCACTATGAATTTAGGAATAACTGATAAATATAATGGTTATCAGTGTCTGTTCCACCTTAAGCAAGTATACTGTATTTTCTGTTCACAAACTGATATAACTGAATTAGGAAGACTGTGTCTTCTTCCATTATCCACACTGAATTGTATCTCACTCCAGAAGTACACAGTTCAGTGCGTTAGTATTTCTACTGCTGCTAGAGTAGTTTGTATTGCACCCTGACCCCACATATAAATGATTTTAAATATGTATTATTTACCAGCACACCAAAAAAAGGCCTCGCAGTAGAACTTTCACTGGCATAAAAGGTGTCAGAAAACATAAGGAATACATATGGATAAAGAATACACCATTAATCAGTTTTAAGAACAGAACTTACTGGGCAAAGCCCATGTAGCTGCAGACTTTCTTAATATTCCACACACCATAGGAAAGGAAATTGGAAGAGTCCTTTGACTACATCTCTAGTGCAGGTTACGTTACGGATGTAACCAGATTAGAGTCCCGAGAAGTTCAGTGGAGAAGTATTATCTAACAGGAAGAGCAGAGAACTGGAAATCAGGTTTTTCAGGTCATGACATATTTGCTGTTCGCCTCCTAGTGCTTCACTTCCTCATCTGCAAACTGGAGAGAATACTTACCAGAGCTGGAGAGCATATGAAACAGGAAGCCCAAGTTCTGGTTCTAAGTGCCCGAGTTAAAAACTTATACACCAAGAAACCTAAAATAAGGAGCCAGTTGTTTCAGCCTCTTCTTCAACTACTGGAGTTATGCTAGAACAAGAAAACTTGGCGCCACGTCAAGGAGCAGACTGGGACATACAGCAAACAGATGTTTCACTCAGAGCACAATATAACAGAAGGAAATGGATCCTTAGAAAAGCTGGTTTGCTAAGTAAACAGTAAGTTCATAAAAATCTTTTGTTTCTTACATGGAAGGAGTCCCTAAGCTACATGACTGCGGATTTGCATTCACGTGCTACAGGTACATGTATACACTGATTGCTGAAACATTTAACTGCTAAAATGCAGTTTCACATTACATGAAAATGAGAGAGCAACTGCTGCCTAAATCTTGCTTATTCCTATTCCTTGCACTCGCTCTGTATGTTCCCACCTCAAGCAGTGCAAATATATTCACTGTGTCCCATGAATATTTGTACACAACAGAATCAAAGCACACTACAACTCTTATTTAGTAGGAAAGGAACCTGCACAGTAACTGCACAGTAACATATTATGAGGCTCAACTCACTCACTTGGCATTGCTTTCTGCAGCTTCCTCCTTTGCTTCCACATCACCCTCACATTTTACAGACTTGTTCTTTTCATCCATCCAGTCAGACACATGCTTAAGGGCACATTCTACTGTTGATACCATGTTCTGGACAGCTTCAAGTTCTTCTGGAGATGGATAAATGGTTGAATGTTTCACCATAACATGGCGGTCATCGTTAGCAAAAGATCGGATAGATCTCTGTTACAGAGTGGGAAAGGAGAGGAAAAAGAACAAAATTATTCAGTTATCAATAGAAAGACATTACCTGAATGGCCGTCCTCACTGATAGATGTAAGAAAAGGTTTTATGATGACCATGTGTTGCAATCTGGCAGGACTGATTTCTTATCAGAGAGATACACAGACACCAAAGACTGTAATGGAATCAGCATTAAGCTGGCAAAATGTATAAGACTTAAGGTGAGGTTTCTTTTTGACACCTAGCATTGGATGCCTAGAAGCCTTTACTGGCCAGTAATACTGGCTGCTAACACTGGCACATCTGGAGCTCAATTTATGTTTATGTCCACAGTAGGATGAGATAACTGTGCTCTGGAGGTACATCCCTTGGGTCCTGAGCAACTCATTTCACTTTCAAACATCTTTAACTTCCCTTGTTCTTTGACTCGCTTGTTAACTAAGATCAGGTTTTCAAAGTCAGTGAAAGAACACCTAGACCCCAATCTTGTCCAAAGCATCTACATATAAAGGAGAAACAAACTGTGAGTAACAGCACTGAAGGAAACACCCTACCCAGCAATACCTGCAGGAACTTAGATCCTGAATTTCAGTGACCTTTCCTGACTGTCTGAAGCTTCAGTAGCTGGATAGCTCAAAGCAAAGGGAAAAGCTTAGGCACCTTGATGCCAAAAGGTAACCACATTTTAAAGTAGGCAAATTCAAAACGTAAGTAGCCCAGGATGAAAGCAAAGGGCTGACAAGGACAATATGGAGACAACTCTCTAAATACAACTTTGTATATTCTTGATGCATGGAGTGCAGCTGTCTGTCCTCAATTTCTGTTAGAGACAGTGGCAACCCCTTTAGAACAAATCAAGTAAATAGGCACTCCCCTACAGCTTTGTTGCTGCTGCAGACAAAGTCACAGACAATACGTATTGGTAAGGGCAGCTTAGCAAAATGCACTGGGATTTACAAAGGCACGAATGAAAATGAGGATAGGGATAAGCTGGTAAGGAATGCAGAAATTATTTCTTAAAAATATGATAAGTTTGCAATGAAACTTCAAGACCTGAGCAATACTGCTGAAGGAGGTAAACGTGGTTAAATGACTTGTGCCAAGAGGTTATAGTTTGCTACGCTCTGGCCAATTGAAACTCAGCTGATCTAAACAGCGACCTGGACCAGCTACACAGCACAGACCTCCAGCAAGTACACCTCTGAACATTCTCTAGACACATGCCAGTCACTACTGAAAGTCCCCTGGAACTTAGAATCATCAACCAGAACTCCATCCTCCTACACATTAAACACTGCAGATGCTTTAGTTTTTACCCCCTAGTTGGTGGGTTTGTTAACAGCACATACTCTGCAATAGCACACGTTTTTCAGGTCATAGAAAATCATAGAACTGCTCAGGTTGGAAAAGACCTTAAAGATCATCAAGTCCAACCACAAAATGGGCCTGTGAAGGATGTGGAAGGTTTTTGGGTCTAATACTTGTAGATCAACAGGTCGTGGCTTGCTAGGTTATTACATTCAAAGATCAGCACTACAGTTACTTCATTAACTTCTTCATGCCTCCCCACAGCAACAATTCAAGTAGTAAAAACTCATCAGCCAGGGGTCTGGTGTTACTCCAGTGCTTTTTACAGTTGCAAAAATATTTCCAGAAGGTTCCTCCTGAGGTTAATCTGCAGCTTGGGTATACAGAGAAGCTGCAGTTCTGCAGTGAAAATTGACAAGCTGGATTTATTCATTCATCTCTACCATCTCAAATATCATGAAATATCAATCAGGAAAAACAGTCAAACAACAACAAACTATTAACTCAGATATGAAGACTTTTCTGTTCTTTTCTAATAGATAAGCATTGGCAAGATCAATTTAGGCCAAAAACAATAGGAAAAGAAGACTTCACGTTGATAACTCTGCTGTGTCAAGTGTTCTTCCTCCCTTTGTGCTCTATAACAGGTAAAAATCTTATCTTGGATCATATATGTGTGTAAGTAGTTATTTAAATATAAACATACATCCTGGCTATCATCAGCCACAGCTATACAAGTGTTAGAGAGCAGAATTTAACATTTATTGCATTTATTCTCATTTCCCTTCTCTCAGCAGTAACACTTAAGAGGACTTACAATCTATGCTTAAACTGCTCTCCACAGTATTTTTCAGAACTGGGTAGGTTTACTGCCCTTCTGTGAGCACATCTTCAGAATCTTACCATCACAATCCTTCACATTTATACAGCTTGATAATGTAATCATCTCTGACGTTCCCAATTTGGGAGCAGCACCAGGTAGACTAGAAATGACTCCTTATTTAGTTCAATACACTTGGTGCATATCCTTTACTGACATCTCATCTATGCCGTTAATGAAAAGTGCATAGGACCACATGCATTCAGCTTTTAATACATGTGTACAAAAATACAAATAATTTTACACTTGCTGTTGTGAGCAAGGAGTGAAAGGGGAACAGCAGCATTTGGTTGTGCAGTCTGCAAGTTCAAGGTCACTCACACTGTTTGCTACAGCTTGCTAATGCTAGTTTTATTAGAAAAACTAGGAGCATCCCCTTCATTCACATTTAATAATTCATGTAATGCAACTCTCTGGTTTGAAATGGCTGACAAAATATCAAACCTCGTCTGCTTTACTCAAAGTATGCCCTACCATCTCCAATTTAGTGTGAGGTCAGAATATCTCCTTGCTTGTTTCATCAGGCCCCGTGCAAGACCATCAGAGAATATTATTAATGTGACCCTATGAAAGATAGGGATACCTACCATGATTTGTTACTGTTTCAGCTCTCTCTTTCTTTCTCCTTTTCCCTCCTCCTTGGTGTCTTTGCTAAGAGCTGTTTTGCTTGACAGAACTTCTTCATAAGCCTCTCAGTCCCTTGACAGCTCAAGAGTTCATAGAGCTAAGATGCTATAAGAGTCACTTTCTGCAACTCACCTGCAAAAAAGAAAGAGAAAACCAACTTGAATCCAGAAGAAACATGTTAATTCCAATAAGTGTTCAATGCAGAACACTGAGTCAAACCACTGACTAAAGCTTCACAGCAGAGAAGAGCTCGCCAAATCATCCTTCCCAGAACAATAGCAGATGTCACTACAGGAAGCAGCTTCATGCCATGTGCCCACACCTATTAACTGCTTTCCCATGCCAGTCAGAGCTTCTCTCAGTGCACTGTCAGCCAACTGGCAGTCTATATTTCTGATGCGAGGAAGATTGGAAATCCAAAGTCTCAAATACATATGAAACCAGCGTGAACAGATAGCTAGTGTTAACACTAATTTAATCATTAAAAAGTAATTAGCAGCTGAAATCCTCTGTGCGGCCTTTGATTCTGAATGTCAGATGCTGTACTTCGGGTGGCAATAACTAATCTCTTATTTAAAAAGAGGGATGTACGTTATAATAAACTGAAGACATGAGAATTGTGATCATGTCTGCCTGAAATCATTCATGATGATTTTTCTGCCCTTGCACTGCTTTTTGCAGTACATAACAGCTAAAAAAGCCTCTACAGCAGCCCTCTTGCACTAAACTAGAAGAATGACAGAGCAGGTAGTGCTAGAGAGGAAAGCAGAAGCTTACTGCATAGTTCTTGGAGAAAACTCCTGTTTTCCTTTCATTGTATATATTTTTGCATCAGCTTTCTGGCAACATTCTGAAGTAACTGGAAATCCCAGTCAGAATTTCTGCAGGGTGACACACACACACACACACACACACACAGAATGTTTTCCTTTTCTCCTGTATGTCAGTCTTTACTTCTCCAGCAGTATGTTACATGTTGCCTGTCAAAAAATCCTGATGGTTCCGGAGATTAAAAGCAAGTTTGGCAGCAACACAGGGACAGGTGAGATGGCTTATGCTCATATTAAAAATACCTGGGAAAAGCAAGCTAACAAAAGCCCTGAAGGACCTCTTTTCTTATCACAGAGGCTATGTACTGTACCAAGTTACCTTAACGCTCTACCATATTGCTTCCCAGAAGCAATCAAATAAGATGTTCTTCAGTGGGACCAGATTCCTACCTCAGGTGATCTTGAAAGGCAAGCAGGGACAGCTGGAAGCACAAGTAAGCACCAAGATTACTGCTTCAGCACTACTTAATACATGAGCTAGTCATAAGCTCATTCAAACTTAAAAGCTATTCACCATCTCTAGAACCAGACTCTTTATCAGGATTTTTGCTTAGCTTTTCCTATAATAGTCATAAAAATAATAATAATAATAATAAATAATATGCTTTAGAGTCGGCAGATGGCAAGCTAGAGATACTTATCAGACATGTTTCCAGATCATCTCTTTCAAATTAGATGGATTCAGTTTGAAGAGAGAACCACCTTCAGATAATCATTCTTCCCTGTGACTCCAGCACTTCACATTTTCAGTTTGCTGTCTTCTCTGTAACTTGGCAGATCAAGGCAGAGGACACTGGAATGTGTTGCTGAGTTTAGCGTGCGCCCAGCATGACATCTCCAGACTCCAAGCAACACCCGAGCCTGGACTCCCTCCTAAGTCTACTGCAAGCTGTTGCTTATCAGCTCGTACAGTATATTGAAAGCAGATGGACAAGGAGAGCTGGCTGAGCAAATTCTGGTGCTTCAGAAAAACTGCAAGCAGACTGTTGTCTAGAGGGCAAGCCTGCAGTCTACCTCACAAGTTCTGAAAACAGCCGTACCCCAGGGTGCAATTGTAGATATTTTCAGTGCTTTTCAGTGCTCTTTGAAAATACAGAGCAGCTGTGAAACATTTGTTTTCAGTCTATAATTTAGACAGTTGAAGCAGAGTCACCAAAACCTCTCAGAAGTCTGCTTTAAAAGGACAGTAACCATCTTATCTTAAAAGAGGTTCAAGTTTCAACAACATGCAATAGATCCAGATGAATATTTATTTATGAGTTTGATTCTACCTGCCCTTTTTCTCATCCATGAGTGGCTGAGGTCTGAGCATCATTTTATTTCTAGATTACAGCAGGATGCTTGTCCCTGTGCACTCATGGACGTAACAGCTGAGGTCCAGGCTAAAGGTACAAGAATATTATGTGTGATTGCCCTAAGCACTGGTTTCCACCTACTCTTGTAAGAAAATTCTAGAAAAAGCTACCAGCAGTAATGAGACCTTGGTGACCTTGAGAAAGTCACTTTACCTCTGTATCATGTGGCCCTAAAGTGTAAAATAGGGCCAATACTTGCTCCAAACCATGCTAGCAGTTGAGTAGAGCCTGCAGTGTGGTTTAATGTCACTGGGGATTTGACACAGTAGAAATGTTATTGAAACACCATGACAGTCTAACAGTGTTTCCATTAAACATCCCATCCTTCACAGAGGAAGTTTATGCTTTGGTGCAAGACAAACAAGGAAAAGAATTTCAAATGAGGCCTTTGTAGTAGGGCATATTCCTGCATCTGGCCGTTCTGTTCCCAAGAGAGACATTTCAACAGCCAGAAATAATGAATATGCTTATGTACCTTCAGGTGCTTGGGAACAGCACAGAGAAAAGCAGGAGAAACAGGTACTTGTCTTCCTTAAGGAGAGTGTTGTAACATCCGAACCTGAGAGCTGTGACCTTCTAGAATGCAGAACTGCTCTGGTGTTCTGAAGCCTCTCACAGCACACAGCAGTACTTGCACAGAGCGCTGCAGAAATGGCTTAACAGAGGAGGAAACTGGGGTCACTGTGCTCCATGTCCTCACTTCAGTGTGCTGCTGTTAAAGGCACAGATGCCATGCCATTTATTACAGTGTAGAAACTGGTCTTAAATGCTACAGCAAAAGGCACAGGCCAGAAATATTTATCTTGAGGAAAAATATCCTCCACCCTCATTATCTACCCTTACACCAACATCTGCTCACAGAGCTCCGTTTACAGCATTCGTACACCACCCTGATATCCCTCTGAGTTTGTGTTAACAGAGCAGCAAGGGCAACTACAGTTGCTGATAGCAAAGGAGCGAACATCTACAGCCTGAGGTGCATCAGACAATAACAGAAACAACTCGAATTTGCACAGAAGGGGTAAGAAAAAGTGGGATTTGTATCATTTTTTGATACTTTCAAAAAATCATAATAAGAGGACTGTAGCTTTAAATTGCAACTTTGTTTTAACTTCTGCTGTGCATCCAGGGGACAGGTAATTTTCCGTCACACCGTATATAGAGCTGCTGAAAATACGCTGCTTTTTTCTGTAGTATAATTTTATTGCTGGCCTCCTGCCAAGAGCCTTTCTGGCAGCATCTTCCACAGTTGGAAACTGTGTATCTGGGTCAGAAAAGACAAGTTGCTTTTCAGAACAGCTCAATACATTTGGCAGAGATGCTGATATTATAATTGAACTCTTTCAGCAACTCTTTTTGTGATGTACGCAGACATCAAACAAAACAAGATCTGCAAAGTTGATTAGTGTCAGAATAACTGACAGCGAAACAGCGAAATAGTTTTCTCTCATGTTAAAAGTATCAACAAACCAAGAGATATAGAGAAAAATGCAATTCAAAAGGATGCTGTGAGGAGCATGGGGCAGAGAAACCTGCAGAGTATGATCAACCTTTGTGCACGTTTGCTGTTTTAAATGCAAACTCCCTGTGTGCTGTACAGAACTGGTTTACTCATTCTGCATCACCAAAAAAGAGAAACTGCTGCCCAGTGCAACCATAAAAACAATCCGTAAAGAAATGCAGCCATAACACTGGGATATGTATTTACTAAGACTCAGGTTGCTTGCAACAATATTCTCAGCAACCATCCAGTTTCACCTGTACATCCACACAAGTTTTATTGTTTTCAAAGTTCCTGGCAGAGTTGCATCTGGCTTAGCCTTTAGAAGTCTGCAATTTTCCAGCCAGACAGAAAATTGTAAAGCAACACCACACTGAGAGCTGGAAAGGTTCTTCCTCTGACATTCTTACCCTACATACAATAAATACTGACCTAGTATCACTCCTGCTTGTTCTTAAGTTCTTAAGTTTGACAAGAAGCTCCTGTGCTCAGATTTCTTCTGAGTTGATAGGCCCAGCACCCCACTTTTATGGTTGCCAGAGACAGGTTAGGCACTCATTTGATAAACAGAATAGAGGAATCATCCAAGTCATTCTTCTGGGAGCCTGGGAGAACTTTTGGCTCTTAAATAACAAACTGACATAGGAACACAAAGTACAATCAACTTAATTAACATTCAGCCTGTCGGTAACATCCAGAACAGAACTGTCCATAAAACAGCACTATAAGAATATATATACATATATAAATAACAAAGGGAGAACTTCTTGGCACAGCCTCAAAAAAACAATACAAAAAAAACCACGGTTACATACTACATAAATAAATAAAAGCAAAGTATTCATCTTCAAACTAGCCAGAAACCATGACTACACTCTCCATGTCTGAAATGTTCAACTGATTTCCAGCTTCCAGCACCAAACACAGGCATTCCTGCTCTTCTCGCTAAACTGGACACTGGAAACCTGGAGCTACTTTGCAGTACAGACCTGCTGGTGAAGCAGTCATAATTTGATACCAACATTCAAAAAAAAATCACAATAAATTTCAAAACAGACTGCGTTCGTTTACAGTTGAAGAATTAACTAAATTAATAAAAAGGATCACATTACTGAAAAGACTCCATCTGTACTGTCAGTTTTCCCAGAGACATGCACTACTTCAGCAAATGCCTGGATCTAGGTCTGAAGTAACATCCAGCTCTCCAAAACAGAACCACATGTTCTGTCCCCTCAAGTACACAGCGCAGTTTGGCACCATGCTGGGCTTCCTGCTGCCTAAGCCATGCCACGCTCTCTGGTCTCAGTACCACAGTTCTGTAGACCTTCAAACTTTTGGACATTTTCCATCCCCATATCATTTCTGTCCACATCCTTACCTTTGTGTTTTTCTTTGCTCCAGAACCACAGTGGGAAGCAGTCACAGTGAAGGAGAGGATAAGAACTGGGACATTCTTTCCCCAGCATCCCTCAACTTAACTCAAAAAGCTGCAGTGCCCCAGTTTCCTTCCTGCTATGATTCATATCCCATTGACTGCATGTTAGCCTAAGCTACAGATTTTTTTCCTCTCAAAACAAAACCAGCTCAATACCATAGGAAACACCTATGCAGTTTGGATTCCTAGAGGACAGTCTCTGCAGGTACCATTTAGCACACAGGCTTATTGCAATGAAGTATCACCAGACACTTCCTGGGCACTCCAAAAGGTCAGTCTTACGTGACCACTCACCAACACAGAAGAAGATGTTTTTAAAATTCTCATGTAAAAGAGGAAGGCCTTTTTCCTTCAAGGTATCAGGATCAGCATCTCCCCTAGAATTCCTTCCTTGATGTCCCCAGTGGCAACGCATGAAGAACCTGGCATTTTCAACACTGCAAATTCACTCTGGATGGCACGCACATCAGCCACTTTAAACATTCATGACTCTCCACTTAAGTGCATTTTGTGATATGTCAGTCTTGCTGCCTCACTGACTTTTTTTTTTTTAAGAGAGAAGATTCACAAGGATCTGGAAGACTATCAGTGTCCGCAGGTGCTGTGCAAAGAGCTCTTCTGTTCTCTGCCAGTACACATCCACCATCAGACTTGACCACGTTCGAGTTCCACTCTGATGACCAAACAAGATTTTGTCTTCAGTTTCTGTATCATTCGTATTTCCCAAGTTGAGAACTGAATTCCTTAACTGCTTATTTATAACAGGATGGCAAAGTTTTACGTACCAAAATATCTGTAGCATCATATTCTAATTTCTTTAGAAAACACAGTTAAGTAATTGATCTTGAACTTGAGAAGCTGTATTAAAATTCAAATAAATAAGTATATTATCTGGGGAAAAACAAACAAACCCCAAGGAGCTGTCAGAATAATCCAACAGCCTCACCTGGCTGTGATTTTAAGGACACAAACACAACTTTGTTGCTTTGGTTCATTTCCCTTAAATTTCATGAATTGCCACAGATCTGTTTAATCTCTCTTTACAGCTAATGATACCATCTCTACTGTGCCAATTTACTCAGAACAGCATAAAATATACCAATGGTTCTTCAATCTTTGTCATTCACTGTTTTCTCTCCATCATGTAATTACCATCTCAGTTTGCTCTCTCAACATAAAGCAATACATGTCTAAACAACAAAACAGAAGGCTATGATGAACACCAGTGCCTTGGAGGCAACCTGCTTGCACAAGCCAAAGGCACCAGCATTTCAGTAAACGTGTGAAAGTAAGATGTCATCCAGGTTAGGAAGCAGAAGTGCATGACAGCAAGCTGTTGCAACTCCAGTGTAAAAGAAGGCGTGTACCCATTTTCCCTCAAAGCAAGCAAATAAACCATGGAATCAGCAGCAGCATTCAGAATGCTCTTGGCTTTGCAGGGAGATTGATTTACAGCAACCACCACCACCTCACTTTCTGCCCAAAGCTCCTCCATACACTGCAGTTGCTAGAAGTAACACTTGAAATTGCTGTCAGGGAAGGACTGGAGAAAAGCCGAGTTTGTTTATTTGGGGCCATTAACTGTATTTTACATCTAGATGTTTCAATTTCCCCTGATCACAGGAAATCTGCTATTCCTGAAAGAAACAGTGAAGGGATTTCTGTTTTTATTTTTTTTTAAAGAAGGCACGCTGGGAAAGCTACAGTAAATCAGGCTAGGAGCGCACAGTTCAAAATGCAGGGCACAGGATCAAAACCAGAACAAACAACATCCACTTTATAAACTAACAGCATCACTGCTAAGCTGGGAAGCAGTACGTGTAACCTTTCATCTCTCAGTCAGAATTTCTGATGCAGCTACATCACGTGACAGTCTTACTGGCTTTCTTACCTGCTTAACCATCAGTGTAAATCTGTGCCATGTCACAACATCATCATTATTAAAGGATATGGCAAAGAGAACAAGAACCAGAGAAAAGCAAACACTGAACTCTAGTCTTAAGAGCGCCAAAAAACTCCTTAGTCTTTACAGTCAAAAACCATATTTTAGTGTTAAAAGAATTTCAGGTTCTCACGTTGTCGAAATGGCTTCTTCCACCTATGCAGAAGCCTCAATGACAGAGCAGCGAGTGCCTGGAATGCAGTGGACAAACACTACCAGACAGTTCTGTGCTTTACTGAGACAAAATCTGAGAGTTAAATTTAGACTGATGACTTCTGCAGGCACTCAGATGTTTCTGCTTTAAGTTTTCTAGAAATTGCAAATGAGAACTTGGCAGAGTTTAAATTGACCCAGCATGTTTCTTCTGGAATCAAAATCATATTCTGTCCTATTACTCTGCAAAACTGTTAAGAAAAAAAAACCCATGCTTTTCAACACATGGCTTCAGACAACTGACAGAGACATTCCATTTATTTTTGTGCTGAGAAAAAAAACCACAGGTACCATTTTTTTCTTCTTCAAAAGTCACTACGAAAATTAATAGAGGAATCAAAGTTAGCTCCATGGCAGCATAAGCACAGTTTGCTGAACAACACTACTTACGTAACTGCATTAATTCAAATATGGCTACGGTAATTTCTTTCCATTTACCATGGGAAAATACATTGCACTTGGAGACTCTGATCTCATTCTTAAATACTAGACACTTAGCAGAGCATGCAGGTGTCACCAAGCTGTTCTGTGGTGCAGCTGGTAATCCTTGCAAACATTTGCAATCTTTGAATGGCAGCAGAGACACTGTGTTGTTTTCTGTTTGTTTGTTTTGCAATACCATGAACAGCTGATAGAATGAAAAAGCTCAGAGGTTACACACTGAAGAAATATAGGTCGTTACTTCTCCATCTGCTGGTAAACAGACAGCACTACCCAGTGTCCCCCTGCTAACCTACAGGATATTGTAATACTCAGAGCAGCTTAACAGCAAACACTAACATGTAATAAGCTCTTCCCTTTCGTTTGCAGTGTGAAGTTTCAGTGTGCTGTTATCAGAGAGCACAATGCGATCAGACTGAGCCGTACGCACAAGAGTTTCACAGCACGCTCACAAACATTACTTTTCTAATCCCTACAGTAGGAATAAATCTGATAGTTTCCATGTAGAAGAGACCCTATTCACCAAAGTCTAAAGTAAATTTCCTAATATCGTAGTAAATCTATGGTAAGACTTGGAAAATAAATTATTCAATTCCCATACATATTAAGTTGCAGAATACACCACTGCCCTCATCCCTCAGCTTTTATTAGACTTTTTTAGTTCAATTTTAACAGATTGCTGTTGGCTGCTTCTGCTATTCCATTTCTTCTTCACAGGACCAGAACCATCCTTCAAAGGCCAACTTGGCAAAAAGTCACAGTAAATGCTTGACAACAATTACCTCTAGACTCGTGAGATTCAAATTAGCAATTCTGTATCTGAGTATGGTGTGATTAAACTCAAGAATTTAATTCAGAATGCGTCCTATTTTCAGACATTACATTTTTTAACCACTCTCTTTGGAACGTCAGATGGACATGGACTCAGACACCTCGTGTCTTTTGAAAACGAGTGCAGTGGAGTCCTTTTGTTAGCCAGCACAAGGCACAGAGTCTGTTCTCGGGAAGAACAGAAGCCAGAGAAATGAGAACATTTGAGGACAGGGACCTGTGCCATTCTGGAAGGTAAGGAGAAGCCACACAGCCCCACTGTGCAAAAGCAGTCCACTCTTCAGCATGGAGCTTCTTTCTCTGGGAACCAAGTTGTAGCATATTGTTTTGGCTTTGAATGTTGAATTTCAGGCATACTCCACAGTTTGGAGTCCAAGTCAGCATTAACATTAGACACAAGCCACAGAGAAACTTCCTGTCATTCCAGAGCCATTGTCCTGCTTTCTCACAGATACTGAGCTCCAAAAGATGTCCTCTGATAACTGCAAATACGAATTTTTCCCAGTTCTAGGGTGTTTAACTCTTAGATTTTCAGTTATTGCTTATAAATGCTGCTTCTTCTGAGAATGGACAAACATTTATGGCTTCACTGCATAAGCCCTCCAAAAATAACTTGAAAGTCAGTAGTTAAAACCCATCAGTGTATCATGTTTATTTTGCAGATCTGTTACCAACTCCTAGTATAGAAACTTTGCCAAAAATGAAACTTCTAAGAATTTTTTCACTATTGACTCCTGCTCTTAAAGGCTCTCCAAATTCCTCTTACAGCTCCACTGCTGGGAAAAGGAGGGAAAAAAAAAAACAACTGCTGCTTTTTTTTTTTAATTACTGGCCTGTTTTGGTCACCTGGAAAACCACACGTGAAGCTGGTGCACTGACAGGCAACCGCTTTTCAACATATGGAAGCATTTGGCCATTGAATTTTTTCTTCAATGGTTTCTTCAAGATTCTGATGCCAATTTACATTCAAAATAGCAATAGGTGACGCACCAATATCACCTGGTAGGACATCCCCTATTCCAGGGGCATGGGTGAGGAGATTTTTGAGCTCACAGCACCATCTCTCAATGCAGTTTTCCTCAACCAGACGTGTCATATCCTCAAGTGTCCATCTGGGATAGAAAACAGCGAGAAAAAAATGATGCGTGCATTCAAGGACCAAGAGACACACTGAGACCCACTAGACAAGAAAAAGATGCAACTTCTCAAAAGGCACTCAGGCACTACAGGTTAACTCAAAACAATCCCAAACAACTGATTGGCAGGCTATATTCCAGAATAAAATTGTGGGCACGTTTGCACTGGGTCTTGCTGGGAGACACTTTTCTGCTATGAACCTCTGGATGGTTTCATCAAGTTTTTTTCCCCCCCTCTTATAAAGATTCACTGAAAACTCAGCATGCAAGAGGTAAAACAAGAGGTTAATCAAGATAAATGAACACAGAAGTTGGACAGTCGCCTCCTTTAAAACAATAAAGCAATTGTGTCCCATAGATATAAATAATTGTTCTAAAAACTCCAATCTGCACAATTGCAAAACCACCAACTACTCAGTTGGGAAAGAGTGATTGAAAGTAGCTTAATTACCAGTTAATTGCAGAAGGAATAAACACTTTTTCAAGAAGTGCATTATTGAGATAATAGAGAACTGTATACAATGTCAGGTTTTACCCCATCACCAGACCCACTGCTAGCAGTCCCAGAACAGCGACAGCTCACCGTGAAGCATCCACAGTTTGACAGAAACAATGCAGGACTGTCAAAACCTCAGTAATGAACTGCAGCGGTACACCGTGAACTCTGCACATAAGGTTTTCTCTCCTGTACTGCAGAGAAACAGAGTGCTCCAGGAGCTTCTCTCTCCTCTCCCCACACAGCAGGCTGTACAGCTGCCCTGTTCCATCGCTGCTGCGCTGAGTGTCTGCAAGCTGCTCCCGTGCTGCAGTGCTGGACAGCCAGAGCCCAGCAGGGGAAGCGGTTTGGAGCTCCTGCAGCTCACAGGAGGAGCACAGCAGGCAGCCTGGCCCCACCAGCCAGCTCTGCCCCACATTCTGCCTCCCCATCCTCCAGCCTCCCATTCTTTACACACGAGGATGACAGCAAGCTTTTGCAACCACATGACAACCTTAAGAGAGATTTTTCTTTCCCAACAAGAGTAGCCAAAAAGCACCTTTAAAAAATCTTTTCCACACCACCAACCTTCTCTTTAAACGCTGCTGTAAGGAACGCTGCAGTCCTTTCACAGCATAAAGGATGACAGTTTTCTGATCTCCAGAATTCTGAAGTATGAAGAAAACTTAGGACTACATTTTGTGGACAGTATGCATGCAGTCAACCAACTGCACACACACAGTTTTTACAGGAAATATTCTGAGCTTTGTAAACACGAGGAGCACAAATAGAACAAGGAAAAGAAAAGAGGGGAAGTACAACAAATCCCTGCACTCCTCAGCTCAAAGCCAAAATTCAGTCTTCTATGTACTGAGCATGAGACTTGCTAGTGTATGTACTGTGCAGTGAGGGTAAAGAGACTCATTGAGGCACAGCACACCTGCTAAAATTGGCAGTAAAATCAGTCAGCTCCTGCAAATCAGTAGTGCCCAGTGCAAACAGAAAGTAAGTCTTCATTTCTCTGGCACAAGATTATGGCAAGTACCACATACAGGTCAAACATTTATGAACAAAAGTAAAGAATCTAGTCAAGGCATTTACATTAAAATAAAGATTGCATTTCACTGTGTGGGAAAAAAACAACCAGTAAGTGTACCAGAGTCCTAAGCTCAGATGAGCTCTCTTCAAGCAGTTCTTCCTAGGAAAAACAGCATGGAGACAGCCTGAGCCAACTACACCCACTGCAGAAGCACCAGGATGATATTCAGGCATTGCAATAATTGCTACAGCATCCACAGTAAAAGGATACAGGAAATAAGGAGTGAGCTTTTGACACTTTTATCTGGACTTCGCCCACCTGTGGGCAACTCATTGATCCAAATTAAATCAACTCCGTATTTGAGTGTTTCTACTCTGAATCCTTTCCTGCCTTAGCATTCTTTCAGTACACATGCTCTCCACCAAATATCATTAAACTTGACAGAGACAGAGAAAGTTTTGTAGACATAATGCTGGAAGGATGACCAACATCATTCTGTAAGGAAGAGACCAGTGGCACCTTTGCACGGTACTGCTGCAACTTCTCACCAAGGATGGAATTCTGTTATGACAATGCTGTGTTTGTGCTGCATTACTAAAAGCACATTTGGAAACATCTCAACAGAAACCAAAACAGAGGTATGTTACTACCCAACTACACAGGAAAAGATTCATTTGTAACATGCAGCCAGTTTAACAATTGCAGATTCCACATTAAAGAGCACAAAATGTTCCACCTTTGCACTAGTTAAGTTTGACTAAGAACTGCAACTTACTGAGCAATGCTCAAAGCAGGCTGTACTGTTCCCCTGTTAAGATTCTCCTTTAGCACGTCACAATTCCTCAGCAGCTGAAGCTCTATCAGTAGTTCTGTTCAAGCCCTCTCTGCAAGTTTTCTCAGCTCTGCTATCCTATTTTGTTTCTCGCTGAAACTGAATTTGAAGCTCAGGCTCCAGACCCATAGCAAGAAATTAAACAACAGAACTTTGTTCATTTGTTTATGAAAGAACCAGGAGGTCTCCAATTTCAGGTTCTTCAGTGTTCTGGTCAGGGTGGAAACAACGTAACGTGGTCGAAAATTAAGAGCATTCAGTTTTTAAATCAGACCTGCTGGAGATGCACGCTGCCTTTTACTATAATTACCTCAAAGAGCGTCATCACTATTTAGATAGCAACAGATTATTTTCTCTAAAACACATTGTACTGTGAAATGTAAACTGGACGAGTATCACACTGATTAGCTGTTACAGCATAAGCATGCAAAGAATTGTTCTAAATCAAATTTATTCCTTAGCAGGATAGTTTTGAAAGGAACAGTCCAGCCCCAGTCAGTCATCTCTAAGTACAAAAAAACGTAAAATGTATTTAGAAGCTACAGTGTCAGGATTAGCATAATTTACTAGGACTGAAAATTCAACTAAACTTTTTAAATTTGGTTGAAATACTTGAGTTACAAGAGGTTCTTATGCACTTTCAAGGTGGGAGTAGTGATTCTTTTCTCTTACACAAATTTAGACAACTGTGTTCTCTTTTCAGCCTCCTGGCCATCTGTAGAGATAGGGAGGTGTGTGCAGATGTGGGCTCAGAGCAGAATGAGCTACTTGTCTCAGCTTGTATTTTTGGCAGTCACCAATTTCACCCTCACCCACCAGAAGCAGAGCAGTTACCAGCCTTGTCTTCAACCCTTTTCTAAGTATCTGCCTTTCTTCCTGGCTTTGCTAGAACACTTGTCACCATATTTGCCCAAATACATTAATTAGTGGCTTTAAACTAACAGTTTTTGCGATGGAAACATTTCAGGTCTTTAAAGAGGGAAAAGACTGAGATTGAAAGTGGAAGAGGAGTAGATGTCCAAGTTCTCTAAGTTCATACCATATACATCTGACAAATAACTTCAGAAGATATCAGAGATTACATCTGAAACCTCCTTTCCCTATCTAATGCTGTCCTAAGTCTTCATAAGGCAACTGAGCTCAACTTCCTTTGCTTTACTTAGGATCCAGCTGCTTGCTCCAACAGGGACTTAAGTAGAACTTCAGTCTAGATTAATTAAAGAACTGGAGGAAACTTCCATTCTCACTGCATTTGTTTTTCAGGAAAGGAACTGGGGCCATAGAAATTTCTTCTTTCAGTTCACTTCAAGGTACAGAGTCGAGCAACTGACATTCAGCTACAGTATTTCTAACTTTAATTAACAGGACACCCCTACCAGGCACACTTGTCGCGCCTTTATACAAAAAGCCAAGAAGCCATAGAATCATATAGCATGTGCTGGAATAAAGATACCACACACAAGTTTCTAAAGCTTTACCCATTTCAACAGTGACAACCAAATTCAGCGGGGTGCACCACGCTGCCTGGTTTCCAGTGCCCTACAACAAATGGCAACATTTTTCATGTCTCCTCCAAGATCAGCTCTGTGACTCAACAAAATCCAGTGCTAAAGATCCATCCCCCTAACAGAAATAATAATTCATAGTCTCGTTGCCAGTAAGATAGATCACTTCATACTGAAGTCTCACCAGACAAGAGCAGCAGCATTGTGCGCCCATGAAGATCCTGATCCCAAGCCTCAGGTCTCCTCATCTTCTGTGACTGCTGAGCTAAAGCTCATTTCTAGAAACAGGCAATTCTTGTTCCCAAACCAGCTCCACATAGCTTCATGCTCACTTGTAGTCCCTTAATGCTTTTCCAGGAAGGCAGACACTGCCAGCTGAGAACTATGATTAGGGGAAGACTCTGCTTAGGGTTATAGACACCGGAATTAACACAGTGGCTTGGGAGAAACATTTCCGTGTGTAACATTGTATTTGTACCTCAGAGGATACTTAAGGACACCTCAGGGCCCAAGGCTTTAAACACTACACTGATACTCAGATTCGCTGTGCTACAAGTCAAACAAGAAATGCATTTAGTGAAAGTGTCTCCCCTCCCAAGAATAAAATGAAGGAGAGAAATAAAGGCCTTCCAAATCAACTTGCTCTTTGCTGCTCCTGCGGGGCAGCGTATGAGGGGTAATGGCAGTTCCTCACCGCTGAGTTTGTTTGCTCTGAGGTCAAACAGCCAGTTCAGCTTCAACCATTGCTTCACTTCTAACTTCATCAGGTTTAAGGTCTAAAACCTTAATGGGTGCTGTTTTCTAAGATATCTCCAGGTTCTGACATCTCATGATTACCCACTAATGACAGTGTTGTTCTCAATCAGATATTCAAACATTTAATTTTTCAATAAAGTAAATTTAAAGTAAATGGGCAGTAAGAATGTGAAGTAACAAAATTTAATTTAATGTGCTAGCCAGACATGCCCCAAATTTATTTTTAAGGATACAATTAAGAGTAATTTAATTCCCTTATGCAGATATTACATAGAAGAGAAACACTGCCGTAAAAAGAATTTACTGCTATTGTACACAAGCCTTACGACAGATAAATTAGAGCCTAGTAACAAAACGTAAAGAATATGCTGCTTTATGTCAATCACAAGCACCATTTCGGGGCTATTCAATAGTTTGCCAAGCCACAGTATAAGAGAACTGCTTTAAATCAATCCATGCAACAGGATCACTTCAGTTGCCACAATCCAAGAGATCTCCTAAAATAGTTAGCAAATGGATTTCATAAGACGATTCCTCTTCAGCATCCACCAGCACATTAAGAAAGCATTTTACTATGAAAAGAGAGAAATTTTGCATAGCTGTGGAAAAATTCCATGAAGTGAAACAATGAGGGCATGGCTTTTAATAATCCATGGTCTTTACTACTTGAGAAACCAATCAGCAAATGTGCAGATGGCCCAGTAACAGAACAGCTCTGGTTGGCTGCACAGAAAATCCACACATAGGATTAGTCTCAATTCTTGGTTTTAGCTGGCAGAGGACAGACACAGCAGTCCAGTACCATGCTTTACATACCTTTCAGTAGCAGCAGAACAAACCACATGCTCTGAATTTTTTCTTATGTTTCCCCTATAACTAGCACCTTGCCTACATTCCTGTACTGCATAGGAAATTAACAGAAAGGTCAGAATATACATTGCAAAGCAAAACTATGAATATGGGGCAACAGACCAACATGGAGTGGGGTCCAAAAATTCTCAGTCCTCCTTCATTCCGTGACACTTAAAGGTCCAGAAACATGAGGCAATCTTGCTACAAAATAAAGTAAAAAAAAAAAAAAAAAAAAGTGCAAGCAGTTTAACTTACCCATATGATCTGTAACAATTCCTACACACACTTTTTCTTAAAGAGACATAAATTTAGAGTTATTCAAAGAAGTGGAACATGATCTGTGTGAGCTGACACAGTGCACCACTGTCTGCATTTTCTGTCGTCATTGCTCTGTGAAAGGCTCACAAGTAAGAATGAAAAACTTCACAAGTGCCAAGAAATGCAGAAGAACAACTGAAAAAATACTGTCTCTGGTCTTCTCATTTTTATTAACCACTGCTTTAAATAGAAATAGAAGCAAATGTTTTCAGGTAGGGCATCTTAGGCCTTTTTTTCCAGAAACTTTGTACAACAAAATTGTATTTGTCACATGCATACTTCAAGTACAACATCTGTACTAAAACAATTATTTTCTTAGAACTGTTTGAGATTTGCATTTTTCTGCTATTTAAGTCTGTAATTGTAATGTTCATGTTACTTTTAACAGGATTTTTCCCTTTAATTTCATGGCTGCTGCATATATAGCAGTAAAATAACCTTCACTTGCCAATACTGCTCATTTTATAGGAAATCCAGGACACTACATCAGCCAAGCTTTCCTCACGCATATGTTGTCAGAACAGAAGAGCCTTCTCTCCCTGACCTCAATACAAACTAAGTTACAGAAATGTGATGCTGAAGTCCTCTGTTGGCATGGCTACACTTATCTTAAGCCCTAACTCACCAACAGCTGCCAGTTAGCATAGCAGGGCACAGACTGAAGCGCAGCACTCTCGCTTCCCCAGCACCTCCCTCAGACAGCCAGGACTGCCTCTCACAGTTGCCCAGGATGCTGCCTCATCCAGCCCAGTACAAATACTCAAACTGCCACCTTCTTCAGTTTTCTTTTACATCTAGAAGCGCCAGCATGTCCACATGCACCCATAACCAAGGACAAGACTCTGAAAACTTCACAGTTTTTAACAGATACCTAATGCCAATCACAGTGGCTTTTTCCACACATAAGCTTGTTAGCCAGCCAGGGCATCTCCCCCTCCCTTCTTTCCAGCCATGGACATGCTCTTCAAAGAGCTCTATTTACATGCCAAGTTACAAAGTTCAGCTGCTTCCAGAGCAACATGGAAAAAGTGCAGCTTTTATGGTTCCACAGTGAGGCTTTTTCACAACTCGAAGCAGCCTGGACTAGTTTATTTTCTCGCACAGCCTTCTTCCCTCCCCACCTCAACAGGATTCACTTCATAAATGAGAGACAGCTTAAAAGAAAAAAAAAATCTGCCAAGACAGACCCTTGAGGAACACCAAAAAGCTTCCAAAGAAAAGAGCTCCGCAACCTTAAGCATCACTGTTACTGAATGAACATTCAAGGCAAATACTGCTTACAAGCTAGAAACAGGTTCCCAAGATCTGCAAGTCTACCACAATTTAAACTGCTTCACAAACACATACAGAAGGCATGCCCTCTGCCCTCATTGCTCTGCTCCTCTTTTCCCAATGGCCTTCTATACAACTGCTCAGCTAAGTTCAGACTCTGCTTTAAGAATAAGGATCTGCACACACAGCGCCGATCTTCTGCAATCCATTTGCCTACGCTTTCTTCTTAATTCCTTCTGAACCTCTGCTATGAAACCAATTGCATCTGCAGTGCCATCTCAGAGGAGAAGCCATGAGGCTGGATTCAGCCACTTACTCACCTGGGGTTCCCCCAACACACAAGGATTTCTAGAAAAAAACCTTCCTCAAGTTCCTCAAGAAATTCAGTCCTGGATTCCTTCCTTGCATTTAAGCTCCTGAACCCTCTGGAGCAAGAACTGGTGCTTCATCAGCATCCTTTTTGTGGAGAGACAATATTGTCAGTAGCTCAATAATAATGATTCATGTGGAAGAACAGCCCCCCCCTACCCCCTCCCTTATTATTATTATTTTTTTTTTTAATTTACAAACAGGCATAAAAATTCTGCAAGGACAAAAGATTCTACACGGAATGTGAGAACAAGCACTGGACTTGCATTATCAATGACAAGATAATGAGAAGCAGAAACTTGAAAGTATTAAAACCACACCATTAGCAATCCGTACCCACTCTTTTCCCCATTCCTCCCCTTCTGCACCAACGTGAAGCTGAGAAAAACTGGAAAGTTCCAGAGAGCAAAAAAAAAAAAAGATGCATCCTAAACACAACCAAGAACGTAGCACAGGTTACAGGCAGCCCCAGTGGCTCTCACGGCCTTCCTCTCCCTCCCAAACCTGCAGGAATAACTGCAGCCCATCTTTTCTGATGGATCGTCTCAGAGGCAGACTGTCCACCTTCTGGGGGAATGCAGAGAGCAACCACCACGCACACAAAGGACTACACCAACAGTCCCTATAGGCACCACAGGCCTTCCTCCCAGTCCATCCCAAAAACCTCCCTCACAGCCCCTGTATGTCTCCATCTCCCTTCCTTCCTACCAACACCAGGCCCTCCCTGCCTCCTCCACTGCTTCCTTCGGGTGCTCCAAAAACAGTTACTGCATTCTCAAAAAGAAAATCCGCTAAGACCAATCCTTCAGAGAGCCCTGCCTTCTCCTTTCTTTCCAAATTACTCTGCACGAATGAAGGAGAGAATTTTAATTTTCTTTTTCTTTGTCCCCAGAGCACACAGCCACATTTCTTACACGAGATGTGGAACACTTGACAGCTACAACATCCACCCAAGTCCTGCACCACGTTAGCTGCACTTCTTTACAGGAGGCGTAAAAATTCCATTTTAAACTTTATAGAAGAAGTCAAAGGGCGGCAGCAGGCAGCCGAGAGCCCGGCACAGGCAGGACTGCTCCATTTCACGCCCGTTTCCAGCGCTCCACTCGGTGCCATCGGGCGCAGCTCTCGGCGCAGGACATTTTCTTACTTTCCGCAAATCACACAGCGCCATTTGCAGGGGCGTGTAAATAAATAATGCCATTTCACCAGGTAACGCGCGTTTCTACTTCAATTCGAAACTCAGGACCCCGTTCGTCCTCCCGGCTCGCTACCGCCATAGGAACCATCGGCTTCGCGATCCTCAGAGGGCAGCCGGCGCCGGGGGACGCAAACCACAAACCGATGGCGCCCCGCTCCGCGCGGCAGGCAGCGGAACGGGGGCCAACTTCGCGGAGGACCCCCGGCACCCGCCCGGCACCTGCCCGCCTCCTCCGCCTCTCCGTCCCCGTCCGAGGACGCTTCCGCCCCGCCGCCCGTCCGCGCCCGGCCCCGGCCGCCCCGCACCTGCGCCCGTCGCCAGGTACGGCCGCACCTCACGGAGCGGAACCCCCAACGGCCGCCGCGCCCCGCGACCCTCCGCGCGCGCACCGGCGTCCCCCCGCCCCGCGCCGCCTCCCCTCCCCCGCCCTGCCCTTGCCTCCTGCCCGCAGTGCCCGGTGCAGTGGGAGGAGCGGTGCCCGGCGCCCGCCTCCCCTCGGAATCGTTCGGGGACCGCCGGCGGCCGCCTCCGGCCCTCCCCGTCGCCCACCCGTCTCACCCCGCTCGCCGCCGGCCCCGCCGCAGCCCCCGGCCCCGGCCCGGCTCCGCGGCCCCGTCCGGTTCCTCCGGCTCCGCAGCGGCGAGCGGGGCTCCGGCACGTGACAGCGCCCGGCGCCCCCATAGGCTGCGGCTGCCGGGCAACGTGAGCCCGCCCCCTCCCTGCACCTGAGAGAGAGCCTTACGCCAACGACGTAGGAAGATGCCGGCCCGCCGCGCCAAGTGCGTAGCGGCGCCCCGCCGGCCGTTTCCTCCCTCCTCGCGGCAGCGCAGCGCAGCCTTGCGGAATTGACGTAAAGGTTCCCGGCCCGGCCTGGCCGATTTCCTACCTGCAGCTGCTACTCCTTACGTAGCCTGCGTAATCCTACCCGTCCCCTGAGGAGAGCGCTCTCTGCAGCTCGGACGGCTCCCGCGGATGTGCGGGTGAGGAGCGGCCAGGCCCGCACCAAAGAACGTCACTTACGTAAAGCCCCTCAAAGCGGTCGGTGTTCTTACGGATTCTCCGTAATGTCGTCAGCGCGAGCACTGCACCTGAGAGGGTTCGTGGTGCGCAAATGCCGTAGGTGCTAGCGCGCCGGGCGCAGAGTACGTAAGCAGCGCGGTAGGGTCCTCCCCATCCCTGTGGGCCTGGTGCGAGGCGAAGGCGGGAAGCAGGTGTGTGCGAGGCGTGTGAGCGCGGCCGCAGCGCTCCTCAGCGCTCCTCAGGGCGCAAGGAGCTGCCGACCCGCCCCGGGCTCCTCTAGCCGCCAGATCTCACCGCTACCCGCCCGCCACAAACGCCCCAGGCCGTGAGGTTAATCCTCACCGCGGGCGTCGTGACCCCGTGAGGCGATGGGCACGGCCTGGCCTGAGGGAGAGAGGAGCTGAGGGGCGTGGTGGGGTCCCAATGCCCTTTCGTCAGTGTGCGTGCTTCACGGATTTTATACCCTGCTTCAAAATCTGAAGCAGTGCAGAAAGAGAGCAGCTGCCCGAATTGAGCTGAGAAGCAGTGTTTCCTGGTGGGTTTCTGTTCTCCATCTGGGTTCCTCAGCTGTTGCCAGAGGGCCTAATATCGATGCTTTCCTGTGGTGAACGTGGCAGGTTGGGCTGCGTGAGGGGTATGGCAGGCAGCAATTACCTCTTTCCCTTCTAGGGATGGGGACAAAGAGCCATTCTGTGGTTAAGCATAAATTCTGCCACTGAGAGCTCTGGAGCTCTGTCCACCACCAGCAATGGGGTGGGAATGCTCAGCAATGCTTTTCAGACCCTTCGGAGAAGCCCCTTGCAGCCTTTTGATGAGGAGAGGGGGCTGAATCTGATGGTTGGTGGTTTTTTGTTTCCTTTGTGTGTGTGCTGCAGAGTATCTCTGTGCTTCTGCTTCAACATCCAAGTGGCCAATAGCTTCACGTTTCTTGGCCTTAAATGATATTTGACTTGTAATTTGTGTAAAAAAGTTTTTTTTCTTCAGACTTAGCAGCCTTGGTATCAGTGTAAGGGATGAGTGCCCCCAGAGCTGACTGCATGAGTGCATCTAAATTTCCACAAGGTTTTCTAGTTTAAATGCTTTTTTCAACTTTGAACATGGCATCTATGCTGTATGGTATCACTTTTCAGAAGTAATCCTATATAGGCTGTAAGATGAAAGAAATTGACTGGGGAGCTCCTTGCTAGCATAATCAATGCACAGCATGCTGTGTTAAAGCAGCCTGTGAGGAACTTTGGCAAAGGCAGTAGGCTCGGGAATTCTGCAGTGCCGAAGATAAGCAGTAAGTTTCATTCAGAACAGCAATTTGCAGCACTGCAGTGGAAGAAGAAAACACATATGCACGGAAACATGACCTGTAGTGGGAGGTTCAAACTGAGCTGCTGATGGTTGGTGTGCTTCTTCACAAGGCTTGTCTCAGCTGTCACCCTAGTCCTGAAGAAAGACAGCTCTACTTCTGTAATGGTGCATAAGGAGTATTAAAAGGGAAAGCATGTCTAATGACTCAATTACTGCTTTCCAGTCTAGAATTGAGAACTTTAGAAGCAATAAATGAATTTACCAGAATGTCCTGTTGCCTTGTAGCGTAGGCCTTTGAGAAGGGGCAAGAAAGTAACAGCTAGATAATCAAGGGACATTCCAAGGACTTGATGTAAGGACACTTTTGTTTGAAATTGATTGCAGCAAATGACCAAGTACCAATGTAGCCTGAACAAAGGCTGATGGAGGAGACAGAGGAACAGGGAGCTGTGGAAGAATGGCGACTGCAGTGCAGCTGGAAATGTAACAAGGAGAGAGTGAAACATACAGGAGACTGCATCTCAGATAATGAAGAAAGGTATTTTCAGGTAAGGCATGAGTTGTATGTTTTCTTGAATTTTAAGATTTTCCATGGAGTTATCATTTGGGCTAGTTGTTTGCCAAGGGCTAGGGGAAAAAAAGAGAGGAAAGAGGAATGGTGGATTAATTTAGAATACAGGGAATTGGAATGGCTTTGGCACTGCAGCACAAGGTTATCTGTTTAACACTGAAAAGAACATCTGATGTTTGAAGAAAGTTTACCAATTTTCATTAGACTTCATTAAATAAAATGGAAGAAATAGAAATGTATATTCTAGGTGTAGTCAGTAAGTGATGAGGACTTGAATTGTGCCAAAAATCAGCCAGTTATATGGAAGCAACATACAGATCTGAGATGTTAATACAGAGAATACTTGTGGTAAGTGGCTGAAGTCTTCTAAGGCTGTTTATTTCACTGAGATTTACTGAGACATTAAATGTAGTTTGTAAAAATCTCGGTGCCTGGACTGATTTTACAGCTTGCAGATCTTATTGTGGTTATCTTGCATTCCATAAATCTGATAAAGAAATTTTATTGCCAGTATTAAATAAAAAATAGAAGTAAAGCAGGAGTTGCTGTGTGACCAACGTATGAAAGCAGTTTTCATGGAGACCAAAAAGAAATCCCTGGGAAAATGGAGGAACTCTTTACAAGAAGCTGTTGAAAGTTACTGATTTTAAGGTTGGCATGAATGAGGCACTGCAACCTGCAGCAGGGCACCTCGTGGGAGGATGTCCTTGGATGCTTCGCATCAGCCACAAATGCTGCATTGAGGACTAAGTGACTATTAGCTACAGTAAAGAGAAAAAAATCCTACCTGAGCAAGGATAAAACGTAACTTATCAAATTTCAAGTGTTTGGCATTGTTTGTGGACAAATGGGATTGTTCATATAGAGCCTGAGGGAAGAGATACTCTTGTAATAGCTCAGAAAAGAGATCTCTGTTTGAGGCTTGCCTTTGTCCAGTGACCCAGTTCTTTACAGGTTTCAAATTCTGCCTTTAGGCATAAATACTAAAGTTAATGGGATTTGTGCAAAACTATCTGAGGACAGACTGAATTGG